TAATGATAGGTGATCAAACATAACTTTATGTATATATTTTTAAAAAATAGATGTGAAAAAAATAGATGGGTGATCAAAACAATGTTGCAAAAATAGTTGGTGACTAAATACAAAAATGACCCTAAATATTTTATCTCTTAATCAAGGTGAAATTATAAATTTCTTCCTTGTAATTTGTAAGAACCGGTCTATCTTAAGTGGTCAAATTTGTCAAAGAGTCAACCTTGGGGCATGGAGTTGGTTTATCCCTGATTTATTTTGTTGCTTTACTTTCTCTTTTACACGCCTCCCACACGATTTGGGTAGGAAAATATTGCATTCAAGCTCACAATTATCCACTTCTATGTTATAAAATTTTGCCTTTTTGAACAAAGGGTGAAGTCAAGTCTTCCATTCATGTGATGTGGATATACACATTGAGAAGCAAAGATTGGGTCATAAAGAGGCCTACCCTTCCATGGTAAACAGCGGGGTAACCACGGCTTGGTGAGGGTGGACACTGAAATCTAAATTTTCTTCGATTAATTACTTATTTTACTGACGTTGTCCATTATGAAATTCTTCGTGTCCACCCTAAAACTTGAGTTGTTTCGATTAATTACTTATTTTATGGACGGTGTCCATCCTGAAAGTTTATTTGTACCTATCCCATTTAAAAAATTTATATTATTAACGTACGTATACTTACCTTGAACAATATTTCTGGATCTGCGACTGATGATAAACATATCAAAACTCGTTTCATTTTCATCTCTCTTCCAATTGATGATCAAAGTATGACTTGATGAAAATGCTCATTCACGTCAAATTTCATTTAGTTTTATGAAAAATAAAACCCCAAAAGATATAAACGATTATTTGAATTAATCTGTTAAACCGATTGAATCATGAATAGTGAAACGGTCGATTCGATCACTGAACCAACCAAATATCTATTAATCGAATTAATCGAACTTTTTTTTTTCTTCGACTGTTAATCGAACTAAGTTTCAGTAACCAATAATTTGATCAGGTAAATTGATAATCGATGATCTATGCTTTAATAACCAGATGTTTAAAAATATAATAAATAAGATGTTTAACCGAATGGGAAGATTTTCTTTTAGCTAATGTTGTTTTAGCAAAGTTTGTTTTTGAGCTGAAAGCTTTTGAGAAACTTATTGCATGGTTGGTCAAGACTGTGACCGGGTTTGCAGGTACAAAAATTCCAGCTTCCTCAGCTACCCTGTTTTCAGAGGCGAAAGCCGGTGATCCGACAAGTATTTTAATGAAGTATGATGACCGGTGATCGATTCCGGTAGTGACCGAGACCCCAAAGTGTACCTGGAGCAAGCAAAGTATCCAAATGTGCCTGCAAATGATCTCAATCCAGATGAATCAGAGTTAGAATGTTACTGGTACCGAAGTCCGGAACCCGAGCTTCGTGTTCTGAATCGAACAAAACATTATTGCTCGAAACGTCTCGATGAATCACCGGTGGGAAACATTCGTGATGCATATATGTTAAAGCATTCGTTGTACCTTTGACAATTTGAATCCTATTATTCCAGTTCAATTGCCTTGCTCTTTCTTCATTTGCAAGCATCTTTGCTAAGCTTCCTCCTGCTAACCACTCATAAACCAAACATTAATGGCTAGCATGAGAGCATAAACCGTTGCTCTTCACGATATTTCGATGCTTCACTCCGGTCGATCCATCGATATCATTGCTAAAAGATTTTTTTAAACGTGCAATTCGTCGTCATCATCGAATTCATGAAGTTTCTTCACTGGAAAAACTTGTCCTGTTGGAAGCTTAGCTTTATAAGCACTTCTCGTTCTGGTTCAGCCATTTGTCTTTCTCGATTCGAACGAGTAAACAATGTTTCGAAAACGATGAACAAAAGGATCAAAGTAACCAAAAAGGGGCCATGATAAAAACCAGAACTTTCTTGCTGTATTTCCCCTTGGATTTTCTCCTCATTGTATTTTACGACAAATGACCAAAACAGAAAATAAACGTAATGTTTAGTTATGATCTTAAAAATAATAATGAAGTGACCAAAACAGAAAAAAGGTAATAGGTGAGTGACTAAATAGGTAGTTTACCCTATAAATCAATCCGCTACCGTTTCAGTAATTACTAAAATCTATTAACTTTCCCTTTTGCTGACCTCTTAGATCGCTGAAATCAAACATCCCGGAAAATTTCCATTCCATTTTCTCATTAACCAAACAGACGAAAGGACTTAAATGAAAAATTGAAAAGAAAAAAAAACAATTATGGACAAGGTGGTGGAAGAAGTGGAGAAGACAAAGAAAGAGTGGGACGAAGCCTATTCAAAGACCCAACAACAAACACATAAAAGAGATTCAGGAATATGGGAAATCAACAATGGAAGAAACTAAGAACAAAATATCATTGACCAGATTAAACGGGTTGGCTCAAGATGGTTTGAATTTGCTTAATTCATTGCAATTCAATCTCGATCTTCTCTCTCCGCCGCTTCCTACGACGAAGAGGTCCAGTCTGCTAAAGCTATGCTCGAAACTTGGAAAAGTCAATCCCAAAGGTTAATTTAGACCCCCGGATTTATAGTTTTGAATAAAAAATGCGAAAATTTTCTGTTGTTTGATTTGGGTTTTGTGTTTTAGTTATTGTTTTAACTGATTGAAATGGTTTTATGTTCGTTGTTAATAGGGTTTACCTGTGATTTAGCAAAGCTTGTCGGTAGTGTTTGAATTGCATTTACTGATGAAAATTTGTTGTTATTAATGTGATTAGTTTGAGAATGAGCCTGAGGAATGCGAATCTGCAAGCAAAGGATAATATGAGGAAAACTGGTCTGAAAGAGGTAGGAAATCTCATTTCCTACGATTGAAGCAAAATTTAGATACTGCTAAAGTGATAGTAATAGCCATGGATTGTTGTTTTCTGTGTGGTTTTGATTCCCTTTTCTTTCGATAATTAATGTAATCGAGATCGGCGGTAGTTGTATTGTACCATAATAAACATGATGCAAGGGGAAATGCATGCTGTAATTTAGATCCTTGATAGATATGTTTTTACTTTTCCATACAAAGTTTGATAGATATGTTGTTAATTGCATCAAGAGAAAAAAAATTTTTTGGTTTCTCACAGTCATCGTTATATTTACTTGTGTTTTGTAGAGGGAACTTCTTCTCGGTGGTGGAGAAGAATCCACGGTTCGTCGGCGCAATTTGCAGTATGTATTAGTTTTTTCTTTGGCCTTCAATGACATAGTAATTAGCCTAGGATCCCCAAATTTTATGCGCTAACTTTGTTGAATGAAAAATAGAACAATTTTCTGCTCTTCAGTTTACCCTTTTTTATAATCATTTTCCAGAACAAAGGCTGGAATGACATCTGCTGCAGAAAGCATCACAGAGAGTCTTCGTCGTACCCGTCAATTAATGGTTCAGGTCCGTAACATGATTTTTTTCTGGTTCTGTTTCTTTTTTGTTATTTATCTTTGATGGTCTTATAATATGGTTCCTTATGCTTTTGTTGCTTCACTTGTACGTGCGTATAGGAGGTTGAAAGAAGCACAAGCACACTCATGACTTTCGGTATGTCGATGTCCCTATTCCGAAATGTTTATTTTACGAAACTTGCTGAAAGTAGTGTGGTTTTAGAAGATTCGGTACTAGCATAAGAAGTCATGTTTGTCTGAGGTTTGATTGAATGTCCATGTTCTCCTTAAGAAACTGAGATGAGAATTCTATCTATGTTGTTTGGCCATTCCGTTTCGGATTTCGGACATAGACTGGAATTATGTGCTTGATTTGTTGACTTATATCCTACGTGTTGCACATGGAGAGGAATCAACGGGCGCATTAAAAAAAGGCTGTCGCGGTTTATGCTACGTTTTTTGTGGACAGGGTGATACTCGTAGTAGGACTTGTCTTGCTCTCGTGTGCTGTACTTTACGTTGTTTCAAAGAGTACTGGCAGTACTTAAGTTGCAGAGGACAATTACTGCAGCCATAAGAGCCGGAATGGCTGGAAAACCAGAGCTTGTTTGCAAAGCTGTAGAAGAAGGTATTAACCAAGGTCGATTCGACGGTGATGTAGCTCCAGGTAAGGGACTCCCATTACGGCAACCTATGCATGATGAACTTTGAGATGATGTAGCTTTCATTGCAGAAATTTTATCTTTGTCGTCACAATCCGTGTAGGGTTTAGTCGGTTCATTTTCGTTCTTGCCACCAATATTTTCACAATCCCAGCACTGTAATTGTTCTTTGTTCCAACTCTTATTTTCTTTATATTGTCCGTGTTTGACTCATATTTAGACATGGTATGAGAATGTCCTGTAAGGGACTCTCCAAATATACCTTTATAGACCGGTTTCTATATTCAACACTCACTCGAGTTCAAAGCGGTATATTTCTACGTTGCTCGACTCTTGCTTTTCTTATACTGTCTATGTGAACTGCTGAAAGATGTATAATTCGAGATTAATTTACGCATCGAATACGATAATCATACGCAAAGGAACTAAAAGGGGAGAAAAGGGTATGGAAATTCACTCAAGTATTGCTTAAGAGACTTCGTTTCTGTGGTAAGATAATAAGATCAACTCTCAGAGCTTTGCTCTTTGAAAGGATTATGGTAGCTTTATCTTTGCCATTCATGACGGTTTTCCCGATACGGATGTTGATTTTAGGCTGAGCGACTTCGCAGGCATGTTTCATCTGGTCAAGGAAGTTTGTGTCCGTGTCGGAAACTCCCTCGGGCCGGAGAAAGGCTCGGTCTCCAAAGGAACGTAGATATGTATTCTTCCCTGAATTAGGGTTTTCGATATGGAAAAGAACGAGCATGTCTTGTTGTACCTATGCATGGGAATCGGATTAATGGAGTAACACATGGAATATAGATGGTCATACAAAAAATATTTTATTATTTGAAATATATACAAATATTATAAAATATTGAATGGATTATATAATTAAATAGAATAATCCACATCCATTTAATCAAATAACTAATCCGACATTCAACAACTTTACCCACAAGTAACCGAAATTTCACACCCACAAATGGTACCGAAACATGAGAACAATCCCTTCTTGTTCTTGTGAGCCCGTTTTCTGGAATGTCTCGACCTTCTAGTCATCGTCGTCGGAACCTCATCGGAAAATAAACTCCCCATGTCAATACTTTGGTCATAAACTGGTGGGAGCTCGGTCCGCCACCGTTCTAGTTTCGATTCGAGCCCTTCGGCGCTTCCATCTAAACTCCACGCTTCACCCACCGAACTCTCCGCTTCTTCCATTTTGTTATAGTAAATGTTCCTCGCCACCGCTGCCGCCACTTCCGATGGTGATGGGCCGATTTCTGAATTGGTCCAAATTTTCGGCACACCCTTGTCATTCGAACCATTAACAATGGAACTTGGTTTCATATTTCTCCCCGTGTTTTTGTTGAACGTGTGATTGACCAATGAACTTCCCCTTGAATTAACCTTGTAGTTGTGTTTCCCTATTTCGGAACCATTAATGATTGACCCGCCATTGACGACCGACGATCCTTTCATCGATCTTCTAGGCATTACATACGACTCCAGAACAAAACTCGAATCACTCTTGGTTCGTCGAAGTTCGGTTTTGATCGGGCCATTAATCAAAAGGTGATTGTTGTTAGTATTGCTTTTAGTGCTCGAAAGAATTTTGAGATTATTAGAGCTTTGAAATGCGTCTTCTTCACCCATCAAATGTCGATAACCGACCGCCGACGACCCGATTTGACAATACAAAGGCATGCTCCTCATCGAATTATCGAGCAATGCCAGTCCAATGTTCAAAATACCTTGGGGTCGACCCGACGGTCTCCAAACCTGAAACGCCACGAAACTCATCCCTATTTGAACTTCTTGGCCGTGGCGGCCACGCATTGAAGAAACCGGCGGGATAAGGTTCTTAACGAGGACTCGTACGCTCCCTATATGGACGTCACGGAACCAATGCACGGCGTAGATTTCAATCATTAAGGTGGAGGTCTCACTATTGAGGAACTCATCGTCTACACGGAAAACAAACTTATCGTTCCATGTAGGGTCCATGTGACCATGGGTGTCTATTCGAGTAGAAAGTTTTCGCTTCGAATGAACCCAAGCCACCGCGTATGTCCGCATATTGCGACGGCATACCGGCTTCAAATCTTGGGCAGATATAATATTGAGTTCCAACAGATGGAATAGAGGTGGCAAGACACTCATAACGTAGCCTAACAACAACAGCAAAAAAAAGAAAACAAGCAAGTAATGTCGATGTTTTTCTTTTCGTCACGATGATGTTTCGTTTATTGATGACGAAAGGTCGGCCTTTTGTCGTCGTATGCCATGTACGACGACAAAAAGTGACGACAAAAAACGAAACGGTCATCATAAAATAAAGGAAAAACAATTGGAAAGGGCATTTGAAAATTAGTGTGAGATTTGTGGTCATAGAGACGAAACCGTTGTTTCTTTGACGTGGGAGGTGGTTCTCTTCCCAGGTGGTGTAAGAAAACCAGTGACAAAGGTTTTTTTTTAAAAAAATATATTTTTAAATAAATGAGATAAATATCCAAATTATACATAAACTTTTATGAAAAATATAATGTGGTACAAAAATTTGGATTTTGTATAATTTTATAAATAAAATTTTGATATAGTGAATTAATAAATTACTCGTAACCGATTATTTTTTATTAAAGAGAAATGGTAAATTACACAAATTATCACTAAATTTTTTTCTTACTTACGTTTTAGTCACTAAATTTAAAAAATTTCAGTTTTATTACTTAACATTGGATATTGAATTTTTTTTATCACTCGACCATTATCTTGACTTAATTTTTTTTTGAAAATTCTTGAACCAAGATTTATTAATTATCATCGTCAATGATCATTAGACCACAAAAATTTCAGATTATTTTATTTCAATCTATTAAGTCCGAATATAATCTCCATTTCACTTGAATCTCATGACCCATGTTATGAATCTACTCTCTGATACCATTCGTTAGACCTTCAAATCCTAAGGCCGGCAGTGATTAAATGAAAAAAAGATCAAACTTCATGTAATATTGAAAAAACTTAAAGTTTATAACCAAAATAAGAGTGAAAAGAAAGTTGAGTGATAATTTGTATAATTTACCCAAAAGATAAAATGAGCAAATTTTCATGTAACACCAAAAGGCTTAAAGTAATAAAAATAATAGTTAAATCAAATAACATAATTTTTTTTACTCCTTCATCCCATATGAATTCATTTTATGGTAAAAAGACCCTTTCTCTTATTTCATCTCAGTAAAAAAATTGTTCTCCATCTTCATTCTGATAAAACTCTTGTTCCTTTGAATAATTATGTTGTTTTGGCCTGTAAAATCAGTTTCCTCTTGATCGACTGTTGTCTTGATTGTTTCCATCATAGTTACTGCCCCTGCCATAACTTCAACCACCAAAACATCCCCTCGAAGCTTCCATCTGATAACCGCCTCGGCCTCGGCCCCTACCCCTCCCTTGGAGACATTTTAACCACTTCAAATAAGAATCGAAAAACAAATGTTCTTGATGTCACATTTGTCATTAGACAACTATAACGAAGGTTGTACGATGCTCGTTTCTGACTATTTCGCAACACAATAAAACATATCCCGATAGGATAGAATCACATTGGTTAAAAGGAAAGGGAAAGGTGTACATATTTCCTCCTCGAGATGGTATATAGTTGTGTTGGGAATCACGGTCTTTCCCATTTCGTGAAGTTAAGATAGACACTTAGAGATTAAAGATAGTAAAGAGAGCACAAGAGTATAATTCTCTAATTTAGAGATTCTTTCACTATATAAAAAAATAGAAGGATTACAAGGATTTATTCACAAAATTTGACTCACTTGGTGGCTCACTCAAGCTTGAGGATAAAGACTTCCTAAGTTATCTGTCTTCTCTCTTAAAGAGGTTCTCTAACTCTCTAGTTTCTCTAGTTTCTCAAGCTTGGATTTCTTGGATGAATAGGAATGAAGTCTCTCACCCCTATTTATACTACTCCACTTTCACAATGAATGGTGGATATTACTTACATCCAAGAGTGGAGATTAATTATCTATAAATGCTCCACATACTCTAAGAAGTTCTACACTCTTCCACTCCCTTCTATATTCTTCCATACTTTTCCATAAGATTCAACACATCTCCAGAATTTTCTAGAGCATTCTGGAGAACCCTGGAGAAGTGTAGAACTCTCTAAAAACTTATGGAATAGTGTGAAATCCTCTCTAAGATGGTAAAAGATTGTGTAGATCGCAAAGCCATCGTATACGTAGTACTCTCTCTAAGAGGGTAAGTACATTTAAAGGATCGCAAAGCCTTCTTCATTTTCTTCTGGTGGTTTGCCCGGACCCATCTTGTTTACTTCTTCTTACTTGGTTCCTTGCTAGTTTCATCGCAGTTTGGGAGTGGAAGAGCTATCGCCGTTTTCATCGGGGGGTTATTTTCTGCATTTTATTTCTTCTAATGTACTTTGTACTGTTTGACTTAACCGTACGACGTTGTTCATACCGTACTCGTTGACCTTCTCCCCCTTATTTTTCGTGGGTCAATTCACCAAATTAATCCGTACGGTATTCCTCTCTATCAAATTCAGAATATTCCGGCGTATATATTTAGATTTCCGGGATTTTTAAAAGATACGATTTTATGTATATTTATAATCTATTTTCAAATATTGGAATATATGAGAAAATTATAAATATTATATACCCCATTTATAATTAATATACAAAAAACTGAACCGGTTAAATATTTGATTCTGATTTATAAGTTGAACCGATTGGTTTGGCAACTTTGACATGCATATCTAATATAAAATTTAATGATTGATAATTTAAAATATATATATATATATATATATTTAGGGATATGTACAAAATTTTATGTCGAATGAATTTATAAAATTTTAGGAATAAAAATAAAACATCGGTTGAAAATACACATAAACGATATAAAACATAAAAGAATTTGAAAATTTCAGGGGATGACTGCTCCCACCCATCCCCTCTCAGTCCATCCTTGTATATACCCGAGTTTTCTAAGTCGTTAAACTGACTTGCTTAAAGTTCGATTATTGTATACTTTTTCAATTATATAAATCAATAATTTTTTATTGAACCGATCCGAACTAGAGAAAATTTGATATTTTATTGCATGGACACAAACTTTGGTGGTATAGTGTTGAATTTAACAAGCGGTTTATTAGGGGAAATGTGGAGTTTAAGAACAGAAACATGTTTAATTTCCAAGCAAACAGCGAAAGAATTGGGCGAAAGCTTGGTCAGATCAATTTCAGCTTACCCAAATAGTCATACATTCCGAGCGTCACCGTCCTAACACGCCACGTAAGAAACTAAACATAAATCCAACATGTTTATGCCGTGTATCCGTATCGTATTCGTATCGTATTCTCGAAACCCGTGGCCTAACGTGAATATCGTAGGGATACGGAGAGAGGGAGTGCCAGGGTGGCAAACCCTGTTTCGGACATAACCCTGAAACTTCTCAAACCCTCTGTGTATAAACTCGGCTTTCCATAACCCTAAAACTTCCCTCTCCATTGCCATAGCTTAACACACTTTGTTTTTCTGTTCTGGAAACTCCCAAACAAAAATACCTAATTTTTGTTGTTTTTTTCATTGTTCGGGTGAACTTGTTTCTGTCATTTAGTTTGGTTTTTTTATTACATTTTAAGCTTAAATATTTTTCTTTTTCATATTATTTCAAAGGAGCTTTCATTATCAGGGTTCATAGTTTTTAAAAAATTAGCAAAAAACAATGTTGCATGACATGATTCATCCACAAGAGCAGCAGCTTCCCAGTGTATGTAATTCTTCACTTTCTTTATCACGCATGCATACATACATACACACATATATATATATATATATATATATATATATATATATATATAAAGTGATAGTATGAACAATGTTGCATGTGTTTTATGTATGAAATTCTCCAGATTTGTTATTTTCTTGGAGATTTTAATCCAATCTTTTAGTGTATATTTAACTAAGAAACCCTAATTTTTCTTACGAGAAAACACCGTTTTAACATGATTAACATTTTTACAGGATGATATTTCGAGTCCGAATAGCGGGCCGCTTTTTTATTTTTCCGACACCGATCTCTTCTCCGACTTCGGTCTGCAAAGCTCGGAGGTTACGCCGTCGCCGGGTAATTGTTGCTTTGATGAAAGCACTAACTACGGGGATAAGGTTATCATGTCACCTTCAGGGGCTTCCACTGCGACCGCTACCTCTACAAGCACCACCGTCATGACCCCGGCCGCTGACAATGACACTAACATTAACAACAACGATGACAACAACAACAACAATTTGTCGTTAATCTTTGACTCGTCCGATGATATCGACAATGGCATTTCAGCTTCCATAGACTTCTCTCACTGTCAACCCCCTTCCAATTTTTCAGTTCCTCCGCCATTTTTTTCGCAACAAGATCACCAATTCAACACCCCTTTAGTGCAACCACAAATTCAGATGTACGTCGATAATATTTCCCCCGTCGACTGGTTTTCTCAATACGGTGGTGATCAGCACCACCTTTTTGCGGTACCCACGCTTATGGGACCGTCGCCACCGTTACCGGCGTCTATTTTTGATGATGATTGTTTGTCTTCGATGACTTCTTATGTGCCTTTAAACCCTTCATCTCCTTCATGCTCTTTCCTTGGCGGTCCTTCAATGGCGGCTTTCATGCCGATGAATGTCGCTTTGCCGGCCGATAGTTCTGAGATTTTCACCGCCGGGAACATTCTCACGGCTCCTCATGAACTTTTACCACAAGACTTGGAATTTCAAGGTGATAATGCCGGAATTTTCTGTCCGGATTCAATGCAATGGATGTTTAAACCTGGTGATTTACAGGTACGTACACATTAGACAAAAGGGTAAACTACACGTTTAGTACCCTAACTATTAATTTTGTTTAATTTTGTTCCATTTTTGTCATCCAACTATTTTTCCAAAATCATGCATAACGTTTAGTTTTAATTTCATTTTGGCCATCCACCATTAAAAAATTAACGGTGATGATGACATGTTACCATATGGTAATTTCAAGTTGTCATTGAAAAATAAAAAATGTCACATCAATAGTTTTATTAATTTGTTTGACTATGATATGATCAAAATAAAACCAAAACATGACATTATATATGATTTAAAAAAAATAGTTGAATGACAAATCGATACAAAAGTGAGATGAGGTACTAGACTTATGGCTTACTCAAAAGATGATTATATTTAATTTGGGGTCAATTGCAATCAACATCCTAAATTCTAGTATAAATTTTAATTGGATCCCAAAATTATCAAAATATTACAAAACAGTCATTGTGATTTTATAAATGTTTGATAAATTTAGTGATCATATTATAAATGTTTGAGTTAATTAACATGTTTTTAATTTGTGATTTTTGCAACAGGGACTGAGCTGTGAGAAACAACAATTGGTGGGAGCAAGAATGAGCTCAACTCCTTTAGCATCAGAGATGTCAAGTTTGGAAGATTCAACTTTCAACAAAGTTGGAAAACTCTCAGCTGAACAAAGAAAAGAAAAGATCCATAGATACATGAAGAAACGCAATGAAAGGAATTTCACCAAGAAAATAAAGGTATCCTTCACTTTTTTTATTAGAACTCGGTTCGACCCGAGTTTAAAAATATTGCATCATATTCAAAATCTAAATTGATATAAATATAAAAAATATATTTTTATCCATTAAAATAGAGAGAGAGACAATATAACAATTATCTCTGAATATATATAAAAGAAAATTATTCTATTATCCTGAATTGGATCGATCAAAGATTTTAACCCTAAACTCGATTCAATCTCATCTTTTGCAAATTTTGAGCTGAACCCAAACCCAAATTAATGAAAAACTATGATCCTATCTAGCCAGATCAAAACCCGATTTGAATCAAATTAATATCCATAATTAGACTCTTTATCAACATCTAAAATGGTTAGGGTTGAAATCTTGTAGATATAAACCCTATCTCCCTACAAGTGACCAATGGCAGATCCACGCTCATGTGAGAGTGGGTACGTACCTACAGTGAAATCTAAATTTTTATTGGATAATTATTTATTTTATTGATTATGTTTAAAATTTTATTTATGTCAATCCTGTACAAAAAATTTATTTTGTTATTAAATGTATAAACCTTAAAAATATTTCTAGATCCATCACTACCTATCACAATATAATATATATGATATAAAATATTTTTAGATTCGTCACCGTCTCTAACGGAAGTATATTTGTGTGTAGTATGCATGCCGTAAGACATTGGCGGATAGCCGACCTCGAGTGAGAGGCAGATTTGCAAAAAATGATGATTTTGGTGAAACCCGAAGGCAAGCTTCTAGCAATCATGAGGAAGATGATGATGATGATCAAGTAAGATCTATATATGGCTAATTCCACCGACGTCCTTAAATTATGATTCGGGTTTTAAATTGATCTATCGATACGATATCGATATTTCAAAGACTCAACTATAATGTTCTAAAATTTAACGATCGATTTAAAATCTGAATAATAGTCCAGAGACGCTGGTCCAATTAACCCATATATATCGGCGAAAACTTCAAGTTATTGATTTTTTTTTTATCAATTTCATGCAGGTCGTCGTGAAAGAAAAGGAAGACAAACTTAACTGCTCGGATATTTTTACTAATATAAATGGTGTCAACTCCTTTAGATATAATTACTCAGTTCAGTCATGGATTTAGTTTACGAATAATACATGATTTTTTATAATATCAGATCAATTTATTTTTTAAAAAATATATTATTAAATAATTAATCAGGACACCATAGATATGTATAGTTAATATAATTGTAAAACATGTCCTTGTATTTGTAGAATAAATTAAAATTTCTTCAAAGTGAAAGAGATTTTGCATTTTTGTAGTCAAATCCATCCCTTTGTTGTACTTTGTAAATTTGGAAGGATCTGAATTGTAATTTTTTTAAATTTAATCATCATTAATAATATTTTTATTTTGAAAATAGAATATGGGTTGTTAGGTAGACCCGACCCGTTGAGTTTCCATAATGTAATTTTAATATTATTTGAACAAATTTCAATTTATAAATTTGTGGATATTATCTTTGTAGATGTTGAAAAGAGAAAACCATTTAGAATAAACAATGATAGTGAAATGTTATTCTCCTTCAAAAGGGTTATATGCTTTAATTCGAAAGTTTATCAAATACTACAATCTAAAATATATAAAAATAAAAATAAAAATGGACTTTTAATAGTGGTCCACAATGCTTTATTTTTTTTTCAAAGTACCAAACTTATCATATAATGTCAGTAAAGACTTCCATTCATCTCCTGTCAAAAAAAAATTTTGGTTGTCTTCCCGGTACTCAAGATTTTATCTTAATTAATCTGGATCGACTCGAGTCGTAAATCTAGTTTGGGTGAGTGAGTCTCCAAGTGAAGATCTTCTGCATATACTAATACTCTAACTATGGATGGGCATGGGTCGGGTTTTAGGTCCACCCGAACCGACCCGAGAACAAGGAATCATCAACCCGACATCCGACCCGACTCGACCAAAACAAGATTACTCCCGACCCAAACTCGACCCGATATATAACTTAAAAACCCGACCCAAAATAATAAAAAATATATTTATTCAATAAAAACAGCGACTTAATTGAAAAAAATAATATATATAGAGGGGTATTATTGTAATTATTCCTAGATATATAAGGTAAACTTATATTTTTTGGGTTGGGTAGGGTCGGGTATTTTTCACCCAAATTACAAACCCGACCCGACCCGAACATCACATTTATTTTTTTTAAAACCTAACCCGATCGGATCGGGTCAGGTCGGGTTCGGGTTCGGGTTCGGGTCCCATGCCCATCCCTAACTCTAACATCCAAACATGTTTAAATGATATCAAGCTGCTTACCACTTGAACTAACCTCATTCTCATTACATAATACAAAACTTTTAAGTTTTATATACTCGTAATAACATATTATCGTTTTTATAATTTAAAAAATTCACCATTTAGTCACTATAGTTAAAGAAACTGAACGTTTTAGCCATTTTATTGTTACAATTTTAACGCAGGAGTACTAAGAATATTTTATTTATCTACAAACAATGACTAAATTGAGAATTATTTCCTGATAATCAAACTGATAATTTGCTAAAGTTTAAAAATATATATTTACACGACCTAATTTTGATAAAGAAAATTAATCAGAAATTCGAGTCCAACAATATTTTCTTTACGTTTCTTGATTTTTTTTCACATGTTTTTTTCCCAAAATACAATAAATAATGGAATATTTTTTTTTTGAAAATAAAAATAATGGAATATAATTACGTAAAAAAGTAGTTCATGATGATTACTAGGGTTTTGATTATCTCTAATTAGCATAATCATTGGATTTGACAAAAGTGAAAGGCTGGGAAGTTAGGTGTGTTTTGTTGTTTTTGGAACATAAGAGTTTGGTCCTAACAAGACAACAACAAAAGGTTATCATGTGTTTTTTCAAAGGTTGTTGCTTAGACGGCTCCCAGGAGGATTCATTTTATTGGGTCAACAATTTGGTATAACGTAGTTAAAAAATAATTTGATCTTAATTATTAATGGGTTCGAGTTTACAAATATGTATTTGATGTATACGATATAGAAAATATTTTAAAACTTTGGTTAATTCGATGAATTAACTGGTTTTGAATCGAATTAACTGTTAACTGAATATAAAAAAAGTATTAATCATTCCCCAACAGAACTGATTTCAGTTCGATCGATTAATTCGGTTAATTTCAAACAGTGAACACCCCTATTTATATTTGTGTTCGAGTTTGTGATTATTTTTAATATTATCATCTTTAAATTTTAATTATAAATTTTATTGAGTAATTTTAATAATTAAAGTAAATATTATCTTTTCTAAAAAAAATCGAATTTAAGCAGTTAAATCAACATATTATATATATAATCAATGACTAAAAAATTCTTAATATAAATTATCATATAATTATGGTATATTAAAATTTTAATATATATGTACACGACAATGAATGTTTTTAAAATTTAGAGTTTTAAAATATTGTATATTCTCATGCCATTGTCTTGTTTCAAATTTCGAATTTCCATTATTATTGGGCAAATTAACGACAAACCCTTTGAATGATTGAAGATTATAGGATTAAAGGTGCATAGAGCCCTCAGGCTTTTTGAAAAAAGTCAATTAAGTCCTTAAACCTTTTTTTCACTCGATTGAACCTCGGACTGAGAAATTAAATCAATTAGCCCTCAACCCAGAAAATTAAATCAACCAAGTTCTTTGACCATGAATTCTTAGTAGTTAATCTTTTTCATTATACCGACTCAGAATCATGTAAAACTGATGAAAAACATTTTGTTAATTTTAAAAATTATTAAGGACTAAATTAATCCTTTTTTAGAGAGATTAACATACCTAATTATGGAATTAAGGGGATCTAAGAGAGATGTTTACCAAAAAGGTAATTATATTTAAATTCTCAATTTATTTTTTGAATTGATCACTGATATCCAATCTATTGACTTACTAATACAGATCGAGTATTGCAGAGGCGAAGGTGACCCTCCTAACCCAGTTTGCTCCATTCGAAAACGTCAAGATTCGAACCCTGACCTTACTTAAGAGACCTAGTGCCTCATGGTTGTTGGTTAAATTCTCAATCTTTAAAAATTATATGTTTTGTTGTTTGTGTTCCAAGTTGGACATAAGAACTATTGCACCAACTACCAACGTGAATGAACTTGAACATTGCCATAAATCAAGATTTCAAATCCAAAGATTATTCCTTTGTCTCTCTTTCTCTCTCCTTCACATGAATTCTTGGAAGCACCTTTTTTTTAAATTTAAATTTATAAAAATAATAATAAAAATTCCCAAATAAATTCAAACATTAAAACAAAAAAAAGTCCATTTCGGTTGATAGACTCTTGTATTCTGGCTTTAGTGGATTTCTGTTCATATCATGCGCTCCAGCTCAACTCTCTCCTGTCTTATTCCTCCCCATTTTCACTCATTTTCTGTTATTTTTTTTATTTTCTTATTTGCCTAAGAAAAGGTGGAAAGTAAAATGTATAATTAGGGATGGACATAATATTCGAATTAGATCTGATCGAGTGAGATTTTTTAAAAAATTCGGAGTCAGGTTGGATTCGGGTTTAGGATGAAAAATATCCGACCCGACTAATTTTTTTATCTTATATATTTAGGAATAATTATAATAATACCCTTCTATATATTATTTTTTTCAATTAAGTCACTATTTTTATTGAAAAAAAATATTTTTTATTATTTCGGGTAGGGTTGGATTCGGATTTTCCCTCAAAAAATAAGGTCGGATTCAGGTCTGGTGGAGAGTATATATTTTTGGGATCGAGTCGAATTGGGCGAAGGATATAAAATTTTCGGATCGGGTCGGTTGGCCCAAACCCGACCCATACCCATCCCTAGATATAATACCAAATTAATCACAATATTTATTAAAACTATTATTTTGGCTTTACTTTTATAATATTTTAGTTTCTTACATTTATTTATTTTTTTTTATAAAAGGCCTCGAATGTTTAATTAATTAGTTATTCTAGCTCTTATTTTTTGTTTAGATTATTTTGATTCTCAAGATTTTATTTTAGGCTAACAAAATCTATATTTGAAGCGTTAATTGTTTGTTAGTTAATATTTTCATTCATAAATAATTTTTTTTCTAAAATGAAATATTTAATATGTTTTTAAAAAAAAATATGCCAGAGAAAAACGGGTCCTACTTGAATCCATGGAAGAACACTCCGTTTCTTATACTTCATCCCATCACTACCTTTGCTTTCAGTTTTGGGTGCTTTTCCCTTTTCCTTTGCTTTGTTATACATCTTTCTTAAGCAAAAAGAAGAGACCTTGATTAGTGCCTTAAAACAGTTTATGACTTCCCAAATTTTACCATTAACAAAAGCAATATACACACACACACATACAGTGCTTGGAAGCTTGTATGGCTTGCCTTCCTTTTTTTCTCTTTCTATCAAACTGAAAATTTGCCTTTTTTTGTGTGTAAGTTGAAGCCTTTAAGCTCAGGGATTAATAAGTGATTAAGTTCTTTTGGATTGGAGTAGTTGATCCTTTTCTTTTGAGGTAAGAGGAGAAAAAAAAGTTCATCTTTTTACTTATTCTATGCATAAAAGTTTGCAACTTTCTTCTCTACTTCTCTTTATTCCAAGTTCGATTTCGACAGTCTTTGCTTAAATAGCTATTGGTTCCCTTTTTTTTTTGCAAATTTTCAAGAAACCCCATCAGTTTTATGGTTTAAATTCCGTCTTATGTTGTATGCTTGTGATTTGCTCATGATCTTGATGTTGATGTAATCATGATTACTTTGACAAAGTTAGTATTCCAATCCAATTCTGTGTCTGATTAGATAGGGAATTCACTTACTCTGGATGTCATACATATATACATACATGGGTGCATACATACATTGTCCAAGATGTTTAACAACAGCTAGCTTTCCTGGGATGCTTGGAAGGTTTCAGAATGTCCATGTGTGGGTATGGGTATGTGTATGTGTATGCAAGTACATATGTACCTTTCCCTATCTTTTTCCAGTGTGTGAATTAGTTCAAATTGCATATTAGTTCAAATACATATATACATATGTACCTTTCCCTTTTATGTTTTTCATGGAGTTGTTACCAAGACCGGATTTCGGGATGTTTACATCGGATTTTCTTTAGTAGTACACGAGTTAATCGCTTTGCTGCGGTGTTGCCGTTGTGTATTTGCTTCTGTTCTTTGGTTATATCTTGATGTAATTCTTCATCTTATTTTGCAGATTTCTTGTGAGGTTCAAGTTGGTCTAATTGGAGGCTTATATATTTTTCGAGGCAGAAATGGCAGCAAGGTGTGCCTGTCATTAGGCTCTATATGTCTAATCCTAGACCGGAGATGGACAACACGTTTGGTAGTGGTCAGAAAGATGAGCAGGGGAAAGACGAGTCGTTGCAAAACTTGGAAGAGAGCAGGGATATCTTGGGAGAGAATGGGACGGATTGCTCCGAATTAATATCGAAAAAGCTGGCAAGAAGGGCAAATCCACAGCTTGCTCTGATGATAAATGCCGGTAAACGATTAGAAGCCGGAGAAAGTCTTTTAATGGATTCGTTTCTTCCGAGTATTTTCTGCGTAGGCGACAAGGTTCCGAGGCATGTGGTTACTCTAGATGAGAAGTACCTTCGACGTTGCCTCGAATTGATTCGAATCAAAGCAGCAAAAGCAGCTCAATGCAACGTATCTGTAAACTTGTGCTCGGTTAAAATGGGGATGTTATCCAATGGATTGCATTCAGCTAAAATTCGGGATGAAGGTAGTTGTGAATTCGGAAGGTTTGCTTTCGACAGTCCACCTGCAGCTGGGACCGGTGGAGTAGTCATCCGTCCTGTAGAACAGTGGGTCATAAGTTCAAAAAGGGGCAGCCGGAGTATGGCAAATATCTTGAAGAGCCCATTGTTACGGAAATTTGGTGCATCGGATGTCGATCCAAGTTCAAATGATGTTAAAAGATCGGTAAGCTATGACTTTATGAGCTCTCCTGGTGGTTACAGTAACTATTCCTCGCATAAGCTAGGAAGTGAAACACCCTTATCCGAAAATCGTAAATTCGGATCCAAGACCGTGCATAAAAGACTTGTTTCCATGTCGAGTTCAAACACGACATGCTCAGATCAGTCCTCTTCTTCTACTTCGACGACAAGTTATCGGGGAATGCTTCAATGCACATGGAAGGGTGGGAATCCATATTTCATTTTCTCTTTGGATAATCAACGGGAGGTATATGTAGCCAATTTGTCGGAGGAAGGATCAGCTCGGGGTCGGGGTCCGGACTGTATGTACTTGTTCCATTCAAGCAAGGGTAGTCACAAGGAACATGGGATTTCTGATGCTGAGTCGAACCTTGTCGGTAAGATGAAGTTATCGAATTCTTTCTCTATCTGTCCCCGAGGTTCTAAAGTCAAGGAGACGGAGTTCGTTCTGTATAGTCGTATCGGAACTTTTAATTCAGATATGCAAACTTCAACCTATAACCACAGGAAGAATAAGGGTCTACCAAAAAAGGTGGTGGAAGTATTCAAGAGCAGTCACTCATCAAAGCCGAGAACAATGTCGAGATGTCAGTCTAGTTCCATAATGGAGGATGATACAGTCAACAATTCCACTTCACCTGATAAGACGAGTCAGATAGAGGAAGAACTTCCGCCGAACCTTGAATTGTCTGCTATTGTTTTGAGGGACCATTTGCCTACAAAACCACTGCCCGACGCCGGGGGTTGGGGCTTGACGTTTCTTCGGAAAGCTGGGGTTAAACAACATGTTGAAACTATGGAAGCCTCGGTTCCATGTGCCTGTTCTGCGAATACCCACGATGATTGCTCAACAAGTATGGATATTCTAGTTCCAGCAGGTATTCATGGTGGTCCAAGAACCAGAAATGGTGGCCCCTCTAATCTTATCGACAGATGGAGAACCGGTGGACGTTGTGACTGTGGAGGCTGGGATTTGGGCTGTCCATTGACTGTACTTGAGGGTAGATCAAGTAAAGAACGAGGTTTGCCTTCGACAGATACTTCCGATGCAAGCAAACCATTCGATGTTTTCGTTCAGGTATATCAGTCTATATCTTTCCCATCTTTTACAACTATGATTTAGCCTCACTTGAAATGTAAATGCCAAACAACAACCGACGGTATAACCCGAAAAATCATTTTGATAACCATTGCCTCTTCTTCAAAATCATTTCAGGGCTCGAAGCACGGTTCACCGATGTTGAGGATAGCACATGTTCACGATGAACTTTATTTTGTTCATTTTCAATCAACACTCTCAGCCCTGCAGTCATTCTCAATTGCAGTGGCATACATCCATTCTCAAAGTCCGAATTTCCGGCCGAAAACTGTATACTCGTCGAGGTAGCGAGATCCGGGTCTCTCGGATAGCCTTCTCATCGTGCCACAGCAGTTTGTAAGTTTGAAAATTTAGGCAGTTATACACGAATCGAGGTCGGTATCTCTTTATATAGGTTGCTTATAACAGAACTGGGGACTTTAGGTTTCTAATAACCAAAGTTATTGTAATTTGTGTGCTTCTCGATTGAATGTACAAGCTTTAGATTGAGTGATTGTGTCGTTTGAACAAATTAGAAGCGTGTTAGAGTTGTGTGCCACCACTAATCTCAACCGGGGTGTCGGAACTGTGCCGGAACTTTGTGGTAACGGAACTACACTTTGCCGTAAATGTTACGGAACTTCGTGGTTGCGGGCTTTGCCTTGCATGTTAAATTGCAAATGCTTGGAACCTCTAGGGTCGTAAATGAGACGAGAGAGATCGCGAGCTACACGAGATCGATTCGATTAAGGCTCGATAAATAATCGGATTGAATAAACTCGACTCGAGTTCTTAATGAGCCGAAATAAACTACTTGATATTCAACTCGAAAAGCTCGTGAACAGCTCGAAAATATAATATATTAAGATTTTTTTTTTAGAAATAAATTATTAATAATATTAATATTTATGTATTATTTTTTAAATAAAGTAAGATTTTCATATATTTAAGGTTCATGTTTGAGTTTGACATTTATATCGAGTTAAGCTTAAGATTTTTTTTTCTTTTCATTTTGAGACTTTTCGAGCTGCTCACGAGCTTCAGTTCAGGATTTCGAGTTCGAGTCGAGCTTGAAAATTTTAAACTCGCGAGTTTTCGAGTCGAGCTCAATTTCAGAGTTTTCGAGTCGAGTCGATATCAATAATACTCGAACTCGACTCGACTCGTTTACACCCTTAGGAATGACAATCAATTGCACTTAGAGTTTGATATCATAATTTCTTTATCGAAAGTAGGGATTAATATTATTTATTTTTAAAAAAAAATATATCAAATGAAATATTATATATAATTGAAATTGAATACCTCAATTTTTGACTCGAATGCCTCGAGAGATTGATAAAACATTTTTATTTTAAATTAGTATTTAAGAAATCCGAATTTTCAACTTTAATATAAACAATTAAATTTAAAACAGAAAAAAAATTATTATTAATTGAGTAAAATCAAGTATTTGTTTTTAATTTTAATCAATTTCAATTTTTAAATATTAAATAATCAATCAAAAATCATTTTTTTCAAGAATTAAAGAAAAATATGTAGTTTTTATTTTAAATTTTTTCACTAAGTATTTAATAAGTACAATGTTGGGCCAAGGCCCAGTGGTAAGGAAGGGAAAAAACCCTAATTCGCTGTCTATATAACAGCTTGAAAACCCTACCATTTGCACTCTGTTTCGCTTCAGCCGTAAAAATGTCTAAGCGAGGTCAGTATCCTTCTCTTCTTTCACCGTCCGTGTACCTTTTGTTTGTGTTATTTTCATTTTCAGTTTATTTCGCGAGAAAAAGCCGCGGGATAAATTCTGCATTTTCTTTATATTTTGTAGTTGTGATCCTAAACTTATGAACAAGAACCCAATTTAGGAAAGCACTGATATGAAATTATTATTATTTATTTCTTCAATGGCTGATTAGCCTACTTAAAACGCTCAGGGTTCGTAAAAATGTAAAAAAAGGGAGAGAATTTATGTGGGTTATTTGTTTATTTCTATTAGATGCTTGATAGCTGGGTGTTTTTCTTTTTTGGTGATTAGGACGTGGAGGATCAGCTGGAAACAAGTTCAGGATGTCACTTGGTTTGCCAGTGGCAGCCACAGTAAACTGTGCTGATAACACTGGTGCTAAGAACCTTTATATCATCTCTGTGAAGGGAATCAAGGGCCGCCTTAACCGATTGCCATCAGCTTGTGTCGGAGATATGGTGATGGCTACTGTCAAGAAAGGGAAGCCGGATCTTAGGAAGAAGGTCTTGCCTGCTGTCATTGTGAGGCAGCGCAAGCCCTGGCGCCGAAAGGATGGTGTTTACATGTACTTTGAAGGTGAAATGTCATACTTGATTTTTAGTGTTAGTTTTTCTGTTATGCATTTGCATTGGACATGGTAGTAGCTAAATAATGAATTGGAAAATAGATTAGCTAGGTGCTCTTAAGGATGCTATTTACTGTGAAGATAGAGGGATTGCTGGTTACGTGGCGGCATGATATGTGCATGAACATGTACTTATGATTTGATGCTTCCTGAGACCAGAAATAAAAACACAAATGGTCAAATAAATTGTTGAGTGAAGTTTCTCTCGTTTGGGATCTACTTTTTGTGATTTGATACGTTTGTTTGCATTCTTATTGTGTTTTGTAGATGTTTGTAATGGTTTTCTTGATGTTTTTGCTGGTGATGTAGTTTGGAGAATTTACTGTTAAGATAGAGGCTTTGCTGGTTAAGGGGTGGCATGATTTGTGCTTTAACTTGGACTTACAATGATTTGATGCTTCCTATGACTGACATAATAAAATTAATTGTTTGAATATTTATCAAGGGGGATTTCTCTCATTTGAAATCTCCCTTTATGCAATATGATGCATTTGTTCTCATTCGGCCTTGTGTTTGATAGACTATTATGGTTTTTATGCTGGTGATGTAGTGTGGGGAATTTTATTTCATCCTTTCTCTACACCTCCCATAACCAGCTAAATTGATTTGCCTACCATATCAATCAGGTGGTAACCATTGTTATCATCCCTGTCCAGCTTGGGACATTTGAAATAAATTTTTATTATGCTATCTTCCATCCCCTTTTAGTGTTCTTAATGTTTTGCAGGAAAGTTTTCTCGCTAATTAGCTAAACTGTTGTTATATATTATTAGATTTAAGTAAGGTATCCTCTTGAGTGTTCAAGTGTTCCAGTTGGTCTCTACATATTTATAATTAATTAAAATAAGTCTGAATAACCTGTGACATAAGTCAGGTATCTAGTATCTACACTAGTGTTTGATTGTTGATACAGTTACTTGTCTGGAATACTGACTGTGTCCATCGTTTCAGATGGATTAAGTTTTCAATGCTTGCACGTGTTCCATTCAGGCTCTACATTTTGTTCACTTAAACGTTTTACATTGATTTCTCATTTTGTTTTTGATGTTCATAAACATTAAGTTTCTGATTCGAATCTTGTTTTAACTTGCAGACAATGCTGGTGTCATTGTGAATCCAAAAGGAGAAATGAAAGGTAGGATGTCAAAAAAAAAAAATTATCATGGTGCCCTGAGGTTCATTTTTTGTGAAGTGTCTGTGTCCACTTGAGGCTGTCTTATATTCAGATATTACAATTAACATTTTCGTACTGGTAATTTTAGGTTCTGCCATCACTGGTCCGATTGGAAAGGAGTGTGCTGATCTATGGCCAAGGATTGCTAGTGCAGCCAATGCCATTGTTTAGGAATTCCAAGTCCAAGTTGTGGAAGATTTTGTTTCAATTTTTTTTGGACTGATTATAGTTTGCTAGTTCAATACTTACTGTTTGTTTCTTCCTAATATCTTGGATGGTTCGACTCGATTTTGGATTTGAAAATGAATTAATGTACTTTATGATAAGTCCCTCAAGTTTTGATTCCTGATCTATATCTTAGGCTTAATGGTGTATTGATAACTTTGAGAATTTTATGTGTACTTGTACAAGTAATTATAATCATATTGAGCCAAAGTCAGTTACTGTTACAGCCAGTGGTAGGCCTTCAGGCATTGCATCTACAACAATCATAAAGCAGCGGCAGAAATTTCTACAACAGCATTGTTAATATCATCAGTGTCTTTGAAATCTAGGTTTCCTCTATGGGCATGAGCGTTCGAAGTATTGTTTATGAATTGTTTGTTTATTAAGGTTAATTAAGGTTACGGGTAAATGAATTGAACGTTTGATGAGTTGTTTGTGAATAGTATGTTTATGTTTGTTTATTTAAGGATAAATATACAAATAGTTTCTCAATTATAGGGTATTTTTTTATTAAGTCTCTAACTATTAAAAGTTGTAAAATTGTCATCTAACTATTCGTCATGTTCTAAATTTGTCTATTTCTGTTAAAACTTTTATGGTTATTTAAGTTAGATGTTAATATGATGGTTGAGATATAATAGTCGTTTAAGATTTTGAGATCATATTTTATCATATTACAATCAATAGACTAATGTTCAACTTAGAATATCATAAAGTTTTTAACGCAAAAGGATTGAGTTCAGAACATAATAACTAGTCGTGTGATCATTTTATAACTTTTAATTGTCGAGTGACTTAATGAAACAACACTTTAAGTTTGAGGACTATTTTGTTACTTTTAATAGTTGAGATACTTAATAAAACAATACCTTATAATCGGATGATCATTTGTGCGCTTTAACCTTAAATTTTTTTATTTATTTAATAAAAGACCAAACATAAAAATAGGTGAGTTTGATTCGTTTATGTTTGTGAAAAAACAAGCTTAAAAGTTCTTTTATTTGATTTTTTTTGTTTTTGTTTTTAAATATTGGTGAATGTAGAGATTAAATTGAATACATGATAAATTTTGGAGTTTAAACTGTGAAATTTAAAGAGTTTAAGGACTAATGGCATAATTTCATCATTTTTTTAACATGTAAATGAATATGTTCGAGAATATTAAACAAATGTGTTCACAAATATATAAACAAATATGTTCACGAACGTTAAACGAATTTGTTCACGAATGGTAAATGAAACAAACACAAATACCTTAAAAAGTGTACAAACAAGATTGTATCACTCTTGTTTAATCGTTCATTCCCTGCCCATGGCCCTTTCTTCACTCTTGTTGGTAATTAAGATAATGTTTCCAAACGGCACCTCTTGTTTCACTTTCAAGCAACCTTCAGAAGCATGAACTGCAAACAAAATTCATCATTAATTCATACAAATAAGGCAATTCAAGTCAGAGGTAGAGCATTTGTATTTGTATTTGTATTTGCATACCACATGTCCAATAGAAGAGCAGAGCTGCTCCTTTTCTGCTTAACCCTGCTGCCAAGTTCTTTAGCGATTCTACTTTAGGAGCTCCTAGCTTTTCAAAATGTATTTTCATATACCTGCACTCAATTTAGCACCCCCACCCCAGGAATAAGTTAATTTTGACTTCAAATTTGTTAAAGGATGAACATAAAAACAACATACGTCTTGATGTTCTCAGTCATTATCTCGGGAGCAGGATTATCTGCAGGAGTTTCCCTTGCAAGTTGAGTTACCACTATGAAATCTGAAAAAAAAAATAATAAAGGAATTGCTATTTGTTGATGACCATAATGGATGATGAACCAATTAAAGTGACTGTTACGGCCAAAATAGAAGCTGCCCACTTATTTACCTGGATCAGCTGCCCAGTTATTCCTTCCCGGCCTTGTTAACTTGTAATCAGCATCTGCTTCACAGAACGCTTCATGCTCATGCACCGTGTCCATACCACTATCGTTTCTCGATGTCGATCGCACATTCTTCTTCTTGGACCCAACCCTGTAAGTTAATAACAATGTCTTTGGCATATTGCTGATTTCATGGATACAAGTTTTTTCTGCCTTCGGATTTATTATGGCAAATGAATCTTTACTTACCTTTCTGTATTTACTTCTAAGCTACCTAAGGAGGTTCCGTCTCCGGATACTGAGCTACCTCTGGATCTTACTGCGTCTGCTGTAAAATGTATGTGAAGCTTAATTGATACCACATTAAGTCAACAAACAGAAGAGACAAAACATGTAAACGAGAGAATTTTCTTACCACAATTTCCTGACCGGACCATTTGATTAATCTCCACCGGTGTCATTTAAGTTCTCTTCATTCGCTGCAACTCTTTAGTAGGAACATCGAAAGGCTTCACGTTCCAAAGTCAGTCGGACAATGCATATATATGCATTTCGAGGTAGCAAACTAAGGAAGAGTCGCAAGACTTACATAAACCGTTTGATAATCAGAATGTACTCTCTTTACAAGATGGTTCATGAGGTTGTGGTTGCCGTGGTAAGGTTCTCACTGCACAGGTATAGGATGAATTAACTTCCCTACATCATTGTGGTTCATGGTAATGGTTGATCATTGTAAGGGACTTCTCCGTTTCCTTTCACAAACATATCATCCAACGGAACAAATGACAACCCTGCAAAATTTACAGCATATAAACCGTGTTTGATCATACTGTGTAAGTTTAGAGGCTAACAAGTAATTCGGGTGTGCAACATAATCATACACCATTATCATGCTCAATATGAATATAATTGCAAATATTCAAGGCGTACCTTTTTCTTTTTTGGAGTTATATCTGAAGTTTCCTCAAGCCAGGAATGGTAAACATAATTAGAAACCAACAGTTTGCTCCTCATCCATAATAATTCCATTAGGCTTTCTTGTTTTTTTGTTTTCCTGGCTCCTGCCTCCGTCGATCCTCCTTTCTCAAGGAGATTAAGATCAGCAGAGTTTGTATTTTAATCTGATTTTTAGAATAACTGTTAGAAAGAAAAATCATGAATGCATACTCTGGCTTCTTTGTTTCTATTCACTTGTTGACCTAACTCGTTCTCTGGAAACTGCTCTTGGTTTCCTCCAGCTGCAGGAAATTAACACGAATATCAAACTCATTCTCGTTCATAGTTTCTTTATTTTCTTTTCCATATTTCTCGAATTATTTCCTTCAGAATATAAAGCCTAAAAGCATACAAACCTCGAGTTCGATTATTCTTGTCTAACTGACAACAAATGCTCAGAAAACTTTCATGTGTCAAATTAAGTGGAAATGTTCACTAGGAAAGATTATTCAGTTCTGCTTGAAGTGGTTCAAAACTTCAACTGAAAGCTTCATTATCTTTTCCATATTTCTCAAATCATTTCCTTAAGAATATAAAAATTTGAGCTGCGGCAGTCTTGTAAAGCTATTATAGGACTCTAACCTCTTTGAGGCTCAACTTGCCGGGCTGGGGAAGGAATAGTAGTAGGTGGCATCTCAATATGCTCATCTAAAGTGAAGTTTACTTGTGTTCCCTCATCACCTTCAAATCTGTCACAGCTGTTAGACATATTAAGCAATTATTCAGGCCACAGACGGTCTAGTGAATCATTAACTAAAACCTTTACCAGCAATGCATGGAACCAAGCTTCTAGAGTTACCTTTCAAAACGACCATGAGTATTGGTCTTAGGCTGATATATATCAGGAAAGGTGATGTCATTGTCATCAGCTGTAAAAATGAAAGCCAGATTGGTGTACAGCATAGTGTTATGATAAACATTCTCAGATTTTAAGCTTCACCAAAGCCAAGCCAATCCAATCGGAAAACGAGTTATGTAGCCTAGTAAAATCTTGGAAAACAGAGTATTTTTAAAACCCCATTAATTATGGCAAGCTTATTTAGCCATGCTTTCAAGGGGTCGGCTCCTCTTTATTGTGTTTGGGTTCATTTCTTTATAATACATAACTAATACCACAGTTTGTCAGTATGGCTTTGCAATTAACAAGTGAATTCATTCAGGTGGATGATATGTAATAATATTAATAAAAAATAATCATGAACTGTATAATTTCTTTGATGATTCTGACAGACAATTTACTACATTTCAAAAGAAAACAGCAGTGAATTCATTTCAAATAGAAGGGCAGAGAAATAATAGTTAACCACATATAATAAACTGGGCAAACCACATGGCAGAGTAAAGCACGCATTTATGGCAAAGATCGCTTACCATATTAAGATGGTTTTGAACCCCATAGAGAATTCTTCTTCAAGTTCTCCAGCATTAGTGAATCCCATGGTGGCTTCTTCGATTTCGGGTAGAGTAATGGCTCTTCTCCTGCACTCAAGGTAGACAGAATAACCCAAAAATCCCATCTATACAAAAAGATGAAATGGTACATAAATAAAAGAGATTTTACTTGGCCTTGGATTTTTTTCCGGAGTAGAGTTGGATCATTTGTTACCTTCGATGCGTTCCTTATTTCAACCTCGAAGAAGATAAACCGTTACCTATTAACTGGTGTTCATATCTTTAATTAGATTGCAAAGGAAGAAAACTTTTCTATACAAAGCAGTTGGTATTAAAATTACTTTGCAATTCTACTTCGGAAACTAATCTTTTGTCCCTTTTATTGATATACTACAATTTGACTAAGTAGATGAACACTACCTTACCATCGATCTCGAGGAGGATAATTTTGCCAATGACCACAATCAAGGTTTTCTTTCATCCCTCAACTTTTACAGTATTTGACAGTTTTAGTACACCAATCTGATTTTCTTTTTTACAGCTGATAAAAACGACATCATTTTAACTGATATGTATCAGCCTAATACCGACACTCATGGTCGTTTTGAAAGGTAACTTTAGAAGCTTTAGAAAAAGGTTTCTCCCTTTTCAATCTCACCGTTATCATCAAAGTTCCATCGGCTTCTCCTCCAACGTTGACACCTCGCCCAGTATATCATTCCTGGTCAAACCTTGTTATTTTTTTGCAGCTCATATTTTCCATCACTTTCCCGGGAAATTAAAAATCTTAGCTCATTGATCTTTTTTTGCCTGCTTCGAGATTCTCTCAAGTTTCATGCTTTTTCCAGTTTCCCTCTTGGAAATTGAATTTGCATCTTATGGTGTCAAAAACAAAGGGTTGACTTGATTCTTGGTTTTATCAGATTGAAGGATTCCACTTTCCACCCATTTGAAAAACCCAGAATCAGATAATTCATGAATTTTGGGTTAGGGTTTGATAATTCATGAATTTTGGGTTAGGGTTTGATCATTCATCTCCTTTTGCTTTCTGGGTAGCTGGGGATTTTATAAAAACGCAATCTTTAACAGAAATCTGTCTTTCTTTTTGCAAAGGTTTTCTTTGAGTTTTGAGTTAATGAGAGTCTTGTTCTTTTTCACCTAGAAGACTGAGGGGCTTTATAATTTATTATAAAGGACTCATTTCTTTAATCCAAGTTATCAATTGATTTCGAAGTTTTATTTTAGTGGAATTGTCAATGGATGATGTCCATAATGATGTGAAGGATGCTAATGAACGCAAAACAACTTACGTGCCATAGATTCTGTAGAACCGATGAAGAAGATTGCAGTGAGTCAACTACTTTGTTGGTGCCTAAAAGAGGTGAGAAGTCAAGAAAATCTGATAATATTAAGCGAAAAGTCCAATGGAATGATAGAATCATAGAAATGGGAACAAACTTTTGGAGATCATGGAATTTGAATCTAGGTAATTGGTGTTTTTGGAAGTTTATCTTCTGAAATGGCAGTACTTTTGTTTGATTCTTGAGCATTTTGACCATTTTGGCTTGGCTTCTTTATGTTGTCAGTTTGCATATTTTGTCATTAGTGATCTTTTTTGTTCTATGAACATAGTTGCATTGTCATATCCTTGTTTGTTTCTGCAAATCTGTAGCTAAATGGTAGTTCTTATAATAGAACAATTTGGTACAAGTTTACTTGTTTATGCTTCATATAGCTTCACTTTTTTATGTTATGTTCGATCTATGATTGTAGAGATGGGTTCTCTTAAATTGATATACCCTCACTTAGTGGATGTTTGCGGTATTAATTATCGGTTTGTGTGAAATTTTCTTTCGTCGTTTCCTTGTAAAGTTTTAGTTTGCAGCTTTATCTCTGTTGGGTACTTTTTTGAGGCATTAGGATTTGTCTTGCACATTTGTTCAAATGTTCTGTTCGCATTAGCTATATGGATAGTATCTGAAAAAATAACATTCCGAATTCCGGGGTGTATCGTGCTTTTATGTTATGTTTCTCTTAGTTTGGCATCTGGCTGCCCAAGTAATTTATTATGCTACCGACCATAGATTAGAAAATAGTTTTGAACTGGAGGCATAACGTGATTTTATGTTCTGTTTCTCTTAGCTTGGCATCTGGCTACGTAAGCCTAATACCGATACTAACCTTACCTGATACGCATCAGCCTAATACCGACACTCTTGGTCGTTTCAAAAGGTAACTTTTATAAGCTTGGTTCCATGCATTGCTGGTAAAGGTTTTAGGTAATGACACATTAGAGCGTCTGTGGACTGAATAATTGCTTAATATGTCTAACAACCACGACAGATTTGAAGATGACGAGGGAACACAAGTAAACTTCACTTTAGATGAGCATATTGAGATGTCAATTGCCACCTACTCGTATTCCTTCTCCAGTCCGTCAAGTTGAGTCTCAAAGAGGTTCCTATAATAGCTTTACATATTTAACCACTCGAGTTTTGTAAGCGTTTAGTTTTTTATATTCTTAAAGAAATATGGAAAAGATAATGAAGCTTTCGGTTTAAGTTTTTTGAGCATTTTACATATTAACCCAATGTAAGCGAAAAAAATGAACGAGAATGAGTTTGATGTTCATACTAATTTCCTACAACATGAGGAAGACAAGAGCAGATTCAAGAGAACGAATTAGGTGACGATGGAACACAAGCAAACTTCAATTTAGATGAGCAGATTGAGATGTCACCTGCTAGTATTCCTTCCTCAGCCCGGCAAGTTGAGCCTCAAAGAGGTTAGTAATAGCTTTACATATTCAGCCATTGAAGTTTTGTAAGCGTTTAGTTTTTATATTCTTCAGAAAATATTAATATGGATGAGAGGAGAGTTGTTATTTCTAACAAAGTTCACAAGTCCTGGCTTAATGATTCTTCAACTTTAACTCGAACTCGAAATAACTCTGTACGCCTTGAATATTTTCTTGTCTTCTTCATATTGAGCATGATAATGGTGTATGATTATGTTGCAGGCCCAAATTTTGCTAGCGGCCGCAAGAGTTATGTTTTCTTCGAAGATAAAAAGGCTCATAAAACTCTCATCTATTTGAAGGAAACAGAGAAGTACCAAAATCATTTCTGGATATGTGGAAGCAATGCAGTCAACCTCACAATATCTTACCTTCAGGTTAGAATTTAATAATTATTACTTTTCTACGTTTTTGAGTAAATAATACAAGTTAATTCATCATATATGTGTGCAATCAGAACTTTACCACAACCTCTTGATTATCAAACGGATCATGTAAATCTCGCAATTCTTCCTGAGTTTGCTATCTCGAAATGCATATGTATGATTGACTTTGGAACGTGAATCCTTTCGAAGATCTTCATAGTGGAGTCGGTTTCCCATCACATGCTGCTGCAATTGACTTATAGCAAAAATAAGAAAACTGAAATTAATCAAATTGTGCAATTAAAAAATGGTGGTAAGAAAATCATCTCTTTTACATGTTTTGTCTCTTCGGTTTGGAGACTTAATGTGGTATCAATTAAGCTTCACATACATTTTGCAGGAGACGATAGTGATTTGGACATATTGCCTGAAGTGCTCTGTGCAACAGGTCCAGGTAAATAAGTGGTCAGTTTCTATTTTGTCCATAACAGTCACTGTAATTGTTTTATCACATTAACAATACTAACAAAACAAACATTCGACGGACGAAAAACATCCGATGTGAATAAAGATTCAAGAGTTGACAATCTCATTCGGTATCGTGGGATGCTATGTGTCCAAATCACTATCGTCTCCAAAATGTATTTGAAGCTTAATTGATACCACATTAAGTCTCCAAACCGAAGAGAGAAAACTTGTAAACGAGAGGATTTTCTTACCACCATTTCCTGACTGCACAACTTGACTAATTTCAATTTTCTCAATTTTGCTGTAAGTCAATTGCAGCAGCATGAGATGGGGAACTAACTTCACTGTGAAGATCTTCGAAAGACTTCACGTTTCAAAGTCAGTCATACATAGTGCATACATATGCATTTCGAGGTAGCAAACTCAGGAAGAATTGCGAGACTTATATGATTCGTTTGATAATCAGGAGATTGTGGTTGCGGTGGTAAGTTTCTGACTGCAAACTTATAGGATGAATTAACTTGCATTATTTACTCAAGAACGTAGAAAAACAAGAATTATTAAATTCTAACCAGAAGGTAAGATATTGTGAGGTTGTTTGCATTGTTTCCACATATCCAAAATAGTTTTGGCGCTTCTCTGTTTCTTTCAAATTGCATAATAGATGAGAGTTTCATGTGCCTTTTTATCTTCGAAGAAGATATAACTCTTGCGGCCGCCAGCAAAATTTGGGCCTGTAACATAATCATACACCATTATCATGATCAATATGAAAAAGACAAGAAAATATTTAAGGCGTACAGAGTTCTTTCGAGTTCGAGTTAAAGCTGAAGAATCATTAAGCCAGGACTTGTGAACTTTTTTAGAAAAGCCAACTCTCATTTCATCCATAATGATATTTCCTGAAGAATATAAAAAAAACCAACGCTTACAAAACTTTAATGACTGATTATGTAAAGCTATTATAGGACTCTAACCTCTTTGAGGCTCAATTTGTTGGGTTGGGGAAGGAATACGAGCAGATGACATATCAATCTGCTCATCTAAATTGAAGTTTACTTGTGTTCCATCGTCACCTAATTTGTTCTCTTGAAACTGCTCTTAGCTTCCTCCGGATGTAGGAAATTAACATGAATATCAAGCTCATTCTCGTTCATAGTTTCTTTTTTTTTCCGCTTACATTGGGTTAATATGAAAAATGCTCAGAAAAATGCTCAGAAAGCTTCATTATCTTTTTCATATTTCTCAAATTATTTCCTGTAGAATATAAAGAACTAAACGCTTACAAAACTCGAGTGACTGAATATGTAAAGCTATTATAGGACTCTAACCTCTTTGAGGCTCGACTTGCCGGGATGGGGAAGGAATACGAGTAGGCGGCATCTCAATATGCTCATGCTCATCTAAGTGAAGTTTACTTGTAAAGTTACCTTTCGAAGCGACCAAGAGTATCGATATTAGGCTGATACGTATCAAATAAGGTGATGTCGTTTTTTATCAGCTGTAAAAAAGAAAACCAGATTGGTGTACTAAAACTACCAAATATTGTAAAAGTTGAGGATGAAAGAAAACCTTAATGTGGGTCATTGGCAATATTATCATCTTGGAGATCAATGGTAATGTAGTGTACATCAACTTGGTCATGCTGCTGTACATCAATAAAGGGGATAAAAGATTAATTTCCAAAATAGAATTTCAAACGAATTTTAATACCAGCTTTAATTATGAACACCCGTTAACAATTAATAGTTTATCTTCGAATTGATGATCTTAACAGCCAATTTTCCACTTCATTTCAAAAGAAAACAGCAGTGAATTCATTTCAAATAGAATAACCACCACCATATAACAAACTGGGCAAACCACATGGCAGAGTAAAGCACGCATTATGGCAAATTCGTTTTGATCACTTACCAGATTAGACCCCGTAGAGATTTCTTCTTCAGGTTCTCCAGCATTAGTGAACCCCATGGAGGTTTCTTCATTTTATTTATTTTTAAAGATGAAATGGCACATATATAAAAGAGATTTTACCTGGATTTTCTTTTCCGGAGTAGATTTTGATCTTTCCCTACCTTCTCCCATGCGTTACGAAATTCAACCTCAAAAACAAAAACCACAAGCGAGATTGTTTTTCTCGTTCCTTTTTTGAAATATCAATACAATTGAATAACATTAAAACAAAAAGGAAAGGAAATTACCTCAAGCCGAGTAACATCCTCTGTCAAGACAAAACAGAGGAGCATTAAAACCCTAGTAAAACGTATAAAAAAATACCGAAGTTATAAAAAAGTAAGGCTCGACGTTAAATCATCAAGAAGGAGATCCACTTGTTTCTTATAAAGAATCGAAACACCACCTAAAGAGCATAACGAGAAATTTAGAAAACAATAGTAAAATCTTGTTCAAGAAAAGACGGAAAAGTGATGGAAAATAGAGAAACCAATGTCGGTATTTAGTTGATTTACTCGTGAGAATTGCAGAGTTTCGGCCGTTTTCGACGGAGTTGGGGTGAGGAGGCCACCGTCGTGGTGGCTGGCCGGTGGAACCTTGGTTCTCCTTTGGTGTGGCTGCCGCTCGTGAAAAAAAGAAAAGAAAAGGGAAGAGTGAAGAAGTTTGATTTTTGTTTTAGTTTAGGTTAAAGGCTTAAGTTTCTATTTAGTTTTTTTTTGGTTAATCATTTAATAGTCCCCCAAGCCTCAACGTGTATTTTCATTTTAGCCACTGGTTTGGGCTGTTTTGATCTTTAATTTGAATTGTTGGATCTAATGTGATTTTTACCCTTATTATTTTGTTTAGAAAATGCTCAGGTTTAAAATAGGGTGAATCTAGTTTTAGTCCCCCAAGTGTTGCCATGTTTTTCCATGTTAGTAACCGAATTTTCTTTTTTTTATTATTTTGATTTTCACATATTAATTTGATTATTTTACAATAAGGTCACCTGTTTATATTTTATTTATTTAATGTTTGATGTAAGGTTTTTGTTTTTTTTTATTTTAACCCTTTTATTTATATTTTTTTATTTTAATTTTGATACAATGTTCTGCTTATTTACAATATGGTAACTTGTTATGCCTCTATTTCCATTTATTTCATATTTGGCACATTATTTTAGTATTTTTCATCTTAGTCTTGCATGTTGCTTTGGTTTTATTCCCATTCCAGTGCTCCTGCTTCATGATATTTGCATTTTTTTTTTCATGTTTCTTGCATGTAAAGCACGCATTTTTGGCAAATTCGTTTTGATCACTTACCAGATTAGACCCCGCAGAGATTTCTTCTTCAGGTTCTCCAGCATTAGTGAACCCCATGGAGGTTTCTTCATTTTTCAGGTATAGTAATGGATTCTCTCCTGCAGACAAGTAGACAGAATAACCCAAAAATCCCATCTATACAATTTTTTAAAATTTATTTTTAAAGATGAAGTGTCACATATATAAAAGAGATTTTACCTGGATTTTCTTTTCTGGAGTAGATTTTGATCTTTCCCTACCTTCTTCCACGAGTTACGAAATTCAACCTCAGAAACAAAACCACAAGAGAGATCGTTTTTCTCGTTCCTTTTTTGAAATATCAATACAATTGAATAACATTAAAGCAAAAAGGAAATGAAATTACCTCAAGCCGAGTAACATCCTCTGTTAAGAGAAAACAGAGGAGCGTTAAAACCCCGGTAAAACGTAAAAAAAAAGACTAAATACCGAAGTTATAAAAAAAGTAGGGCTCGACGTTAAATCACCAAGAAGGAGATCCACTTGTTTCTTGCAAAGAATCGAAACACCACCTAAAGAGCATAACGAGAAATTTAGAAAACAATAGTAAAAACTTGTTCAATAAAAGGCGGAAAAGTAATGGAAAATAGAGAAAACAGTGTCGGTATTCAGTCGATTTACTCGTGAGAATTGCAGAGGTTCGAAGAGACATCGGAACCAGAGGATTTTTTTTTATTTGTTCACTGTTAAAATCACGCAAAGTATAAATAAAAAGAAATGAAATCTAGAAATCAGAGATTCAAATTACGGTCGCGTTGTGTTTATCGCGGTCGTAACGGATGTTATCATGGTAACGGCAGGTATTGCGGACGTACAACTTATTTTACCTTTAAAATTTACTTTTTGGAGTTATTTTATAAATCCAAAAACTCTATAAAAATCATATTCCTTTTATCTTTAAAATTTACTTTTTGGAGTTATTTTATAAATCCAAAAAAAATGATCTAAAACATTTAAATTATTAATTCGAGTTATAAATCTCAATTAATATTTAGATTTGATTTATATTTAAGTTTTGGAATGTTATTAATATTATATGTTTACTAAGAAATATATTGGTTTAATAATTAAATTATAAAAAAATATTTTAATTATCTAAACATTCGTAAATTAGATTACTAAATTGAAATGATGTTTTATTGAAATGTTAGTGCCGTAAAAGTTGAGTGCCCATTTAGGCAATTTACCCTAAAACAAAATAAGTAATATATTTTGCTCATTTTTACCTGTAAATTAATAGCCCTATTTTCAGCCTATATCGAAATCCTGATTTCCATCAGCCTTCCTCCTTAAACCCTCCTGCCGCTTCCACCCCCACCCCACCCCCTTAAACCTAAAATGGATCTGAAAGCGGTGAAATCGGACTTGGTCCTTATCCTAGACTTTGGATCTCAACATACCCATCTCGTGGCCTTATTCTTCTTCAGATGAAAGCTTGAAGCAACAATTAGAGAAATTACAGAATCAAACTTGATGTTTGGTGTTGTAACAGGGATTAATGGGAAAAATGGTCTGTTATAGCCGCGATCGACCGTTAACCATTAATTTGCGGCTGTTATTGGCCATTATGGTATGATTTTGTTTCACACCGTGATTTTGGCTGATATCGATAACGGGGGCCATCGATATCGCGATATAACGGCCATTATACCGTTACACGGTCGATTTTTGAATCCCTGCTAGAAACTAACTAAAAAGAAAGGTAGAAACAAAAAACCAAATTCGAGCAACGTCGAGCCCGTTCGCCTTCTTTTGATCGAGCTTCCCTTGCCTATTAGGGATTAAACTTGAGAATACAAAAACCAAAATACAGAGATTACTCCAGGTTACATATATGAGAAAGCCAAACAGAGAGATAACTCATTGTTTTTTTCCCAGATACTCCATTTCACAAAAAGAAGAAGAAAAAGAAGAAAAGCTCACCACACTTTCCCCAGGTGTTTTTTGCGATCAAGGAGCTTTGTGGAGTGAAACATAGTGTTCTTCGATTTCTCTGTAAAGATCAATGGAAGAGAAGAATTAAAAAAAATAAGAGAGGAGAGATGAAGAAACAAAGCTTTCGTGGATGCAGAGGTTGTGTTGTTGGAGCTGGGAATAGATCAAGAAACGTATGTCTTAAAGTGTGACAATCAGTGCAATTTATCTGGCAAAGAATTCAACATTTCATTCTCGCTCAAAGCACATAGATACTGGATATCATTGGATTCAAGAAGTTCTCAAGGAAAAGCAAATACATCTTGACAAGGTTCACACATATAAGAACAAGTCAGACATGATGACCAAGGTAATATCGAAAAAGAAGTTCGAAGATTGTTGTCAAGGTGTCAGCTTGATACTACCTCCCAATTAAGTCGAGAGGGGGAGATTTGTTGGATCTCTCATTAATTGGAGATGTTCTAGAAAATTCTAGAGCTTTCTGGAGAAGTGTAGAATTTTATAGAACATTCAAGAGAACTCTAAAGAAGTGTAGAACTCTCTAAAAGCTTGTGGAATAGTATGAAATCCTATGGAACATTCTGGAGATGTGTGAAACCTTATAGAAGAGTATGGAATAATATAGAAGGGATTGGAAAAGTGTAGAGCTTCTTAGAGTGTGTGGAACATTCTAGATAATTAATCTCCACCATTTGATGTAAGTAATCTCCGCCATTCATTGTGGAGGTGAGTAGTATAAATAGGGGTGAGAGACTTCATTCCTAACTATAAAAAAATCTAAAAATACTAAGAGAGTCCACTTCTTAGAATAAGAAACTAGAGAGTTAGAGAGCCTCTTTGAGAGAGAATAGAAACTAAAAAGAAAGGTAGAAACAAGAAACTAAATTCGAGCAATGTCGAGCCCATTCGCCTTCTTTCGATCGAGCTTCCATTGCCTATTAGCGATTAACCTTGAGAAGACAAAAAACCAAAATACAGAGATTACTCTAGGTTACATATACGAGAAAGCGAAACAGAGAGAGAGAGCTTATTGTTTTTTCCCCAAATACTCTATTTCACAAAACAAAAACAAAAAAGAAGAAAATATCACCACACTTTCCCCAGGGGTTTTTGCGATCAATGAGCTATGTGGAGTGAAACATAGTGTTCTCCAGTTTCTCTGTAAAGATCAATGCAAGAGAAGAATTAAAACAAATAAGAGAAGATAAATGAAGAAACGAAGCTTTATTGGATGCAGAGGTTGTTTTGTTTGTGTGTTTGAGCAGAATGCCAGAGGCGATTTCGGGAATTAATTGCGATTGATGTAATATACCGAGAGATTTTTTTTCTTTTCTAAAGATCAATGGAAGAGAAGAATTAAGAGAGAGAGAGAAAAACTTTCTTGGATGTAGAGGTTGTTATGTTCATGTGTCTGCTCAGAATGTCAAGTCGATTCGCGCCAAACCGAAACCCTAAAACTAAATAATATATATAATATGTTAAATATTTAATAATTTCAATTAATTCGGTTAATTAATCGATTTCGAACCGAAATCTAAGTTTAAAAAAAAACACTAACCATTAACCGATCAAATCCAAAATTAATTAGCAGAATTATTTCATAGTTTTAAACTCAATGAGCATACATGTTTTGATTTAAACATTAACATTTGGTCCATGTTTGAATGCAATTATTTCCTAGTTGTTGACACCAATCTATCATTTCCTGGAGACGTGCTTGAAAAAATACTTCGTAGGTGTTAAACTTGTTGTAAGTAACAATGGTGTCCACCAACTCACCAACCCCTAAATGTAAGGAGTTATATATGCAAAATATTAATTGGGATTTAGATGAAGAATGTTATGTACTCTCGTGGTTTACAATTAAGAGTATAAAGATTATCTTTGGTTCTTGTCTTTACAATACATTAATAACTGAATTAGTATCACAGATTAACTGAAAACGAACTTAATTGAGAAAGGATTTAAAATTTACACTTAAAAAATATTACCAAAATAAAATGTTAGAATCAAAATACTTCCAAAAAAAGCTAAAGTGACAATTTAATAAAATATTAGGGAGCCTTTTGATATTATGCCATGTCTCCACCATAACTATCAACAACAGACAAATCTTCCTCAATTTTTATTCAAATTCATTCCGCCTACATGACGAAATTATCAAAATAATATTTTTTTTATCCAAACGGCGACGTGAAAAGTTTCAAAAAAATATAATTGTTTTATTGGAATTTGTCACGTCGGATAATAAGTTCTAATAAAAAATATATTTTATTGGAACTGTCATGCCCACGTGACTAGTTTCGAATCACTGTAACAAATGCCGTAAATCCCAAATTAATTTTGGAGATGGCTTAACGAGTCATTTTTTCTATCCGCCAGGTCTATTAAGCTAATTTTGTAACACTTTCTATCATATTTCACTTATTGTACTTTAAATCTTTTCAATTAGGCATTCTCTATTAAAAAAAATATTTATTGTCACCAAAGGAGTTGATCAAGCTGTAAGCAGCTTAATATCGTTTAAGTAATGTGTCGAATTTGAATATTTGTGTATGTAGGAGACTTGTCTACCAAAATCGAATATGTGACACAAGTCGTGTCTAGATTAATCATGATGAACATGAGAACAACAAAAAAATATACTTATTGTTTAAAAACGATATGATCCATCTCAACCACCACATGCATCAAGTAATTCAACAACAATTGTGTTATCGGTCTCAATCACAAATAGTTTATTTTGCAAATGATATTACCCAATGAGGTTCTCACTAGTAATTTAGAAAGGATTTAAAATTTACATATTTAGGTAGTATTTTTTTTATCCAAACTCACATTAGGTCTCATCTTTTTATTCGAACCCTCCAAATTCTGATCATACAGTAAAGCTTGAACACATATCTTGACTCTTAAAAGAAGTATCATACACATGCATGCCTGAATTTTATAATATATATATATATATATATATATATATATTGCAGAGCAGTTCCAACATACTCCGATCATGGTTATGGCTCTACATCTGATACGAGGAGAAATGGATGAACTATGATACTGAAGGGAAGCCTTTGAATGAATTGCCAAGTGCATCTACATTTCCGGGCCTAGAAATTACAACCTACAAATGTAAAGTTACCTCCAATTATTTGCATTTCTAGTGATATTTGTACGATTATATCACGTATTCGTGTCGAGTATATGTCGAATACGAGTATTTCAGAACGAAAACTGAAAACCATGGATAATAAAGCTGTGCAGGTACTTGAAACTCACCTGGTAAATCCCAAGAGTCCTTGTCCTGTGACCAGCAGCCACATTATCAAAATAATATTCCCATGTTCGAATGAACTTGTCATCGAATCCCAAGGCAAGGATTTTGCTGAGAGAATTACAGTCAAAATTTCATAGAAAGGTTCTGAAATAATGATTTTCACCAGTAAATGTGTCATTTAAGGATCATATAATAGCATACATCTTGTTGTCCAGAAAATTCTTTCTCCAATATCTAAATGTTTTTTAGTAATGAGGCATTATGTTTTCCATATACTCCAGCTCCACATTATGATCACGCAACTTCCTTCAGTTTTCTCCATAACCGAAAAAAAAAGAGTTTACCAAGGGGGAATATTATTTATACCAAAGTTTTGGTGCTGCTTTCATGGCCGTTGTTATCCAAGTCAATGAAGGTACGCAACAACCAGGGAAGATGTATTCCTTGATAAAATCGGTTCGAGCTCTCTTCCCTTGAATCCATTCGAGCTCGAGCGAAGCTTTTATTGCAGAACTGATGGTACTGGATGGCCAGTTCTCCACAGCAAGGTGTGCTTTGGTGTATAATCTGGATTAAGAGTTACCAAAAGGGGTAGGCCTGTTTCTCCTAGATTCTGCAGATTCATAAAATTGTAGACTTGCAACATTATTGGTGTTGTCATCTTTTCTCGTATTAACTTTCAATATGCATTAGACACGGACGCCGGACATCGATACTTAAAGAAAAATAAAGTTATCGACCAACATAGATAGAAGCAACCACAGTTTGAATCATGAATGCTTAAAAATTCAGTGCCAAAAGTACTATTTAAGCAAAGAGAACATAGTAGGTACCTGAAGCACATTGAGCCAGTATGTCAAACATACTTTCTTGTCTGTTCTTCCAATAAAATTCCTAGCACTCAATGCTGCTCGATTTTTGGGCATTAAATTTTCGTCACAATGAAGATAAATATCGCTGCAAATAGAGAGACTCGCAAATGATCGTACAACATGGAGTAGAGATTGATTATTAATCCATCAGATCTGGTAGCTATAGACATATTGGAAAGCACCAAGCACTGAAGATTCATCATATGTTGCTTGATTTCCAAGCAATCTCAAAGTGCATTAACAGCCATTATGCAACCTTGATATGATTCTCGAGACTCGTCTTCGCATAGTACAGTACAACCTATAATAAACCTTTGGCATTAGCAGTGGAGCCACAATGTTTCTGGCATGGGAAAAAGTTTTGAGAAATAGTTATGTTAAACATTCTTGATCGTGTCCAAGAAAATGCTCGAGTGAACAAACTTAGATACTAACCTTCAGCATCACTCAAAACAGAATGCACCTCATAACCAGTTCTTATTTGACAGCCTCTACTCTCCAGCTCGTCTCTAAGTTGATGACATTTTGTCAATAAACAAACAGAAAAACACGTTTTAGAGGTTACATTCAAATGAATGTAACAATGAATTCGGATATAGAAATGATGAAATTGAAGAAGAGGAAATGGAGAATCAAACTAATACCTTGTCGAGGTAACCACGCCATTGAACAGTCATCCACTGTGGTAGTCCAACGTGCTATAAAGATGAGCAAAGTTATATTATCAAATCCAAACTAACACAGAAAGCTCTAGTATCACCTAAGAAGAAATTGCTCATTCTTACCAGGAACATATGTTAACTAGACTATTCATTTTCCGAACATATTCGAACAGAAGTTCGGGGTGTACCATACATATTCATGTCTAAAATTCAATCGAATCTGACTAATATACACCATGACAATATACCTGAAGTAGATGATGGTTGCGGAAAAAAGAAAGATCCATAACTCTCTCGGTAGGGCAGGACCACATTGAACCACATACAGGCACCTAAAAAGCTACATTTTTGTCAATGCTATTCACTACGGAGGATACGTTTCGTCGAACAAGTAGAGTTGTACGTGAACAAAAGTATATCAGAAATAGGTAGTCTCTGATCTCACCAGATAAGCCTTCCGAAAATATTCGGAGTTGCCCTTTGATGTTATGAACTATCCCAATGTTTCATTGTGACCGATATCCGGGTTGTTTTCGAACAGTTCAAGATAACTGCACAATCAGAAATGAAAGATGGACAATAAGTATATTTGTTCGAACAAAGAATTGGAGGGCGATATCTGTATCTGACACTTACACTTCGACTCCGAGCAACATAAAAGGGAATTTTAACATTGCTCACCTAGTAACATCATTCTTGAACTTGATAATTTCCCTAAGCATTTGCCAAAAGTAAGGGTTGAAGAGGTTGAATTTCTGAGCAAACAAGCTCGAGAAACCATTTCGGGTGCCCCATTCGAAGCCTTTTCCTTCATCAAGGCTCACTGAGAAGGGCATATCAGATGGCTCCATATCAATTCCAAGACTTTCGAAGAACTCCATCATATTTGGATATGGAACCTGCCATCACATTGACAAGTACACATTGCAGAGACATCTCACTAACAATTTATATATGGGAAAAAAAACTTGTTATCAGCATTCTTGTGATAAAGTTTTAACATCTGTTCTTTTACATGATACTAAACTCGATTCAACCCGATTTGATATGTCTAAATGAAGCGGTAAACCGGGGTGTAAATGAACAAAGCTTGAATAAATAAAACTGTGTGTTTGTTTATTTTTTAAGGTATTCATGTTCGATTCATATTCATTTAAAATTTTAGTATTATGTTCGTCTTCATTTATTTATATTATTTATATTAGTTGTTGTGTGAACATGTTCATTTAATTTTTTTCAAAAATAGTAAAACTATGCCAGTTATCCCTCCTCCAATCACAACCATTATGCAACCTTGATATGATTCTTGGGGTGGTATGGTTAATTTTCTGGCAATGAGAGTGACGATGGCGAACGTTTAGTATCCGATAAGGGGAATCTCTATTGCGGATCTAGGGAAAAGTCGTTATATATTCTGGTTATTCCATGAAGATGATGTAAATCGAATCGAAGCAGAAGGCCCTTGGTATTTCAATTCTCATCTTCTGCTCTTGCACCGGCTGGGATCAGGGGAGAATCCGATGATGGTTGAACTCAATTGGGTGGATTTTTGGGTTCTGATAAATGACATTCCCATGGGTTATATTTCAAAAAAAACTGCAAAACAGTTCGGGAATTTTCTAGGCACGTTCTTTGACTATGATGCTATTGCCATCACACTCGGTTATCGGAGAGGTATACGAGTAAGGGTTCGGTTGGATGTTCGTAGGGCGTTAAAACGCAAAAAAAGCTTACGCTGAAAAATGGGACAATCATGTATGCGCTATTCCAATACGAGAAGCTTAGACTTTTCTGCTTTATCTACGGTAAATTAGGACATTGTGAGAACTATTGCCATCACACTCGGTTATCGGAGAGGTATACGAGTAAGGGTTCGGTTGGATGTTCGTAGGGCGTTAAAACGCAAAAAAAGCTTACGCTGAAAAATGGGACAATCATGTATGCGCTATTCCAATACGAGAAGCTTAGACTTTTCTGCTTTATCTACGGTAAATTAGGACATTGTGAGAAGTTCTGCCCTTTGCGAGTGTTACAAGAGAAGAAAGAGTTAATCCCGCAGTGGGGCTTATCTATTCGGGCCCCTTCAAGACGAAAATGTATTCTTTCTAGTCATTGGCTTCGAGAGCAACTGATAGGGGGCGTTTTGTCTGAAAGATTACGCAATGCAGATAAGATGCAGGCTGATAAGGGAGGTACTCCATTTGGACACGCATCAAGTTCAAATGGGAGTTAATTTCCCCGATTCAAGAGGCTCCAATATCGATGAAAGAGTGGGTCACCGCTAAGTTTCACTCAGGATGTTATTGAGAATCACGGTCTTTCCCGTTTCGTGAAATTAAGATAGACAGTTAGAGATTAAGGATAGTAAAGAGAGCACAAAATTATAATTCTCCAATTTGGAGATTCTTCCACTATGCAAAAGAATAGTATGATTACAAGGATGTGTTCACAAAATTTAACTCACACTTGATGGCTCACTCAAGCTTGAGGATAAAGATTTCCCAAGCTATCTCTATTATCTCTCAAGGAGACTCTCTAACTCTCTAGTTTCTTACTCTAAGAAGTGGATTCTCTTAGTATTTTTGGATGGTTAGGAATGAATTCTCTCACCCCTATTTATACTACTCCACTTCTACAATAAATAGTGGAGACATCCAAGGGTGGAGATTAATTATCTAGAATACTCCACACACTCTAAGAAGCTCTACACTCTTCCACTCCTTTCCATATTCTTCCATACTTTACCATAAGGTTCCACACATCTCCAGAATATTTCAGATGATTACACACTCTTCCATAAACTTCTAGAGAGTTCTATACTTCTCTAGAGTTCTCCGAAATATTCTAGAAAATTCTATATTTCTCCAGAAAGCTCTAGAATATTCTAGAACCTCTCCAATTAAGGAGAAATCCAACATATGTCTATGTAAAAGTATTGGCGATGTTTTAGGGCACAACGACGACATTGAGATGGTTGCTGAGGCAGAAAACATGCCTTTTGTGAGAGGTGATGAGTCTAAAAGACAGCGTTAAAGCATGGACGGGAGTTCGCGCGATGGTTCTGATGTGGAGAATATTCCAAACAACAGGTTATCGGCCGACCTGGAATACCAGGTCCTCCGTTCGCTATGAAACTCATTAGCTGGAATGTTCTAGGCTTGGGGCAGCCTCGGGCAGTTCGCCGCCTTCAGCATTTGTTGAAGGATTTTAACCCCGCGCTGGTGTTCTTAGTGGAGACGAAGGTTCAGAGCTCTCAAATGGTGCAGATTCGACGATCATGTGGGTTTTAGGGAGGAGTTGAGGTTGATGATCGTGGCAGCAGTGGTGGGCTGTGCTTAGCATGGCATGGTTACTTGAATGTCTCTGTGCGATCCTTTTCGTCGTCCCATATTGAATTTATTGTTTCTATGGAGGATAGTCGTGTGTGGAGATGCACCGGGTCCTATGGAGCTTCAGAAGAGAGCTGTCAACTCGAATCGTGGAATCTGCTTAGAACTTTGAATGATTGTCCGGAGATTTCATGGGTAAACCACTCTATTTCAGATCATTGCCCGATCCTGATTGAAACTGATCACAGTGAGTCTGAATTGCCAGTGGCATTTTAAATTTGAAGCTGTGTGGTTGACGAAAGATAGTTGTGAGGAGGAAGTGGCTAGGCTTTGGAGTATTCCTGCCGATTCTATGTTGGGGAAGCTGGAAAATGTATGAACTGGAATGGATATATGGTTTCGAGAATTTCGAAAGAAACACAGGTGGACTGAAGAGGATCTGAAGCACCTCCTTAGGGATCTAATGGAGCAGTACCCTTCGGAAGAGGTCTTGGCAGAATTTACTGATACAAAACGCATCTGAACATAGAAATGGATAAAACTGAATTGTATTGGAAGCAACGAGCTCAGGCGAATTAGCTTAAACATGGGGACAATAACACTGCATTTTTTCACCGCTTCACCTCTCAAAGGAAGCGTCGGAAACATATCTCCCATTTGGAGTCAGAGTCGAGGGCTCGCATTGAGAGGGATACAGCCATGGAGGAATTGGCGAGGGTATATTTCCAAACCCTCTTTAAATCAAATTTTACTGAGATAAATGATCGAATTTTACGAGGAATTAAATGTTAGGAAAATAAACCGAGTACAAGTAATTTCCCTATAACCAGATTAGTGAGAATGCGAAATAAAAGCGGAAAAATCGAGGAATTAAATGTTAGGAAAATAAACCGAGTACAAGTAATTTCCCTATAACCAGATTAGTGAGAATGCGAAATAAAAGCGGAAAAATAATACCCGAAAATTGATAACGGAGTTCAGCCAATTGTGCTTACGTCTCCGGGCTGCTGCAGATCTTTTACTAAGAGAGAAAATTTACAGGTGTTTACAAAATACTCACTACTCACAAGAAAGCTCTCTAGTATAGGAAGAAAGAAATGTTTTGGGATGATTTTGAAGCTAAATGGGTAAGGGTATTTATAGTAGAAACTTAGGGACTAATCTTTGAAAATACCCTAAAGTGCAATGACTAAAGTGAATTTACCCATTCCTATTTTCAACAAACATCTACCAAAATTTTACCAAACTTTGAAAAACATTTTTCAAAGAAACATTTACCAAACTTTGAAAAAAACATTTTCCAAAGTTGGTTGCCAAACTTTGAAACTTTTAACAATCTCCCACTTGAAGACTGATTTTAATATGTCTTCACACCTCGATCAATGCAGTACCATGTCTGGTCTTGTTATTCTAGCATGCCAACTGAAGTTGAACACAACTTCAGTTTATCCGTAGTCACCGTCTTTGTCAACATGTCTGTCGGATTTTGAGCTCCACTAATCTTTTCAAGTTTCAAAATCCCATCTTCCAGAAGAGACCGGATAAAATGATATCTCAATTGTATGTGCTTTGTCCTGGAATGAAAAGACGGATTCTTTGCTAGATGGATAGCACTTTGACTGTCGCAATACAAGATATTGTTTTCTTGTTTCTTGCCTAACTCTTCCAAGAAACTTTGGAGCCAAACCATCTCCTTGCTGGCTTCCGTAACAGCGACATATTCTGCTTCAGTTGTGGAGAGAGCAACTATCTTCTGTAGTTGAGAAACCCAACTCACTGCAGTTCCTCCTAGAGTATAGACATACCCTGTAGTGCTCCTTCTGATGTCGACATTTCCGGCTAAGTCAGCATCTACATAGCCTGTCAGTATCATATCTCCACCTTTGAAACAAAGTGCTTTGTTTGTGGTACCCCGAAGATATCTGATGATCCATTTGACTGCTTCCCAGTGTACCTTGCCCGGATTATTCATGTACCTGCTAACAGCTCCCACTGCATGAGCAATATCTGGTCTGGTTGGTGATTGGTCTTTGGAGAGTCTGAAATGAACACCTAAAGGTGTACTTACTGGTTTAGCATCTTGCAGTTGAACCTGGAGAGTACTTTGTTGATGTACTCAGCCTGTGATAACATCAAAGTCCCCGACTTTGTGTCTCTCTTGATCCTCATCCCAAGAATCTGCTTTGCAGCGCCCAGATCCTTCATAGAAAACTGCTTCGACAATTTTTGCTTCAAGTGTATAATCTCTTGCATGTCTGAGCCTGCAACGAGCATGTCATCAACGTACAATAATAAAATAATGAAGCTGTTGTCGAACCTCTTGATGTAGCAACAATGATCTGCTTGGCATCTGATAAAACCACTGCTACTCATGAAACTATCGAACTTCTTGTACCACTGTCTAGGAGCTTGTTTTAAACCATACAAGCTCTTCTTCAACCTGCATACCAGGTTTTTCTTGTCTGCCTCTATGAAGCCTTCTGGCTGCCTCATATAGATTTCTTCCTCCAAATCACCATGAAGGAAAGCTGTCTTTACATCTAACTGCTCAAGATGTAAATTCTCTGCAGCTACAATTTTCAACACCAGTCTGATTGTAGACAATTTTACGACTGGAGAGAAAAATTTCATTGTAGTCAATACCTTCTTTTTACTGAAAGCCTTTGACAACCAATCTTGCTTTGTAGCATTTGCTCCCATCGTGCTCTTCTTTGATCCTGTAAATCCACTTGTTGTGGAGCGCTTTCTTGCCTAGTGGTAATTCAGCTAATTCCCATGTCTGATTTGACATAAGCGAGTCCATATCATCTTTCATGGAAAACTCCCACTTGACTGAATCCTCCACTTGCATTGCTTCATCATAGCACTCTGGTTCACCATTGTCAGTCAGCAAACAAGTAGTGTAAAGAAGGAGAATACCGTTGGGTTGGTTTAGGAATTCTGGAGGAGCGTCTCAGTTCTGGTGTGCCTGGTTCTTCTTGAACTGCTTCAGGATTGATCTGAACATCATTTCCAGAAATCTCCTCGAACTCAGCAAATTCCTTTGTTTCAGCTTCGGTATTACTTGATTCTGCGGTTGACCTATCTTTGTACATCACATTTTCATTGAAAATGACGTCTCTGCTTCTGATGATCTTTCGATTTTCGTAGTCCCAAAACTGGTAACCGAACTCATCACCACCGTAACCAACAAAGACGTATTTGTTGGACTTGGCATCAAGTTTACTTCTTTCAGCAGAGTTTATGTGTACATAAGAAATACAACCAAACACTCTTGAGTATGAAAGGTTTATTTCTTTCTTGCTCCAAGCTTCCTCTGGTATTCCGCCATCCAAAGGAACTGAGGGCCCACGGTTGATCAAGTAAGCTGCAATGTTGATAGCTTCAGCCCATAGAAATTTGGGCAATCCGGCATGTATCCTCATGCTTCTGGCACGTTCATTCAGAGTTCTGTTCATGCGCTCTGCTACGCCATTCTGCTGCGGTGTTATGGGAACTGTTGTCTCCATCTTGATCCCATTGTTTGCGCAGAAATCTCTGAATCTACTGTCTCTGTATTCTCCTCCATTGTCAGACCTCAACCGCTTGACTTTCAAACCAGTCTCATTTTCCACCATGGCCTTCCATTTTCTGAAGGTATCAAAGACTTCTGATTTCTTCTTCAGAAAATAAACCCACACCTTCCTTGTTGAATCATCGATGAAGGTGACATAATATAGTGAGCCTGCAAGAGATGGAACTGGGGATGGTCCCCATACATCAGTATGAATCAATTCTAACCTTTTTGCCTTGGGTGTCTTGCCAATCTTTGCAAAACTGACTTTCTTTTGTTTTCCAAAGATGCAATCCTCGCATAGTCCGACATCTACATTCTTTAGATCCGGCAGCTTCCCTTTTGATAGAAGTATCTTCATTCCTTTCTCGCTCATATGGCCGAGCCTTTGGTGCCATAGGTTTGATTTTCCATCAGCATCTGCTACTGCAATGATATTCTCTAAATTTGAGGTTACATAGAGAGTACCGGTCTTCTTACCACGAGCAATGACGAGTGCTCCTTTGGTAATCTTCCATTCACAGCCTGAAAAAGTTGTACTATATCCTTCTCCATCAAGCTGCCCAACAGAAATCAGATTTCTTTTGAGGCCAGGAATATGTCTCACTCCTGTCAGCTTCCAGGTGGTCTGGTTTGGCAGCTTTAGTCGGATGTCTCCTTTTCCGACGATCTTCAAGGTTTCATCATCAGCTAGATGAACCTTCCCAAAATCACCACTGACATAGTTCTCCATGATTTCTCGGCATGGGGTGGAGTGGAAAGATGCCCCTGAATCCAAGATCCATGATTCAATCGGACTGTTGACGCTTAAAATCATGGCATCACCTGTCTCCTCCGTCATGTTGGCAGATTCCTGTGCGCCAGTATTTTTCTTCGGTGCTCGGCAATCTCTTTTGAAGTGACCCTTTTTGCCGCAATTATAACAGGTAAAATCTTTATTTCCTGTTCTTGATTTGCCCCTTCTAGATTTTGATCTGCCACGATTTGAATTTCTTTCTGAAGTTCTCCCTCTAGACTCCGTGTGTAAGGCTGAGGAGGTTGATGCTTCACCCGATTCTCTTCGTCGAATTTCTTCACTCAATACCAGATCCCGAACATCGTCAAATTTTAATTTGATGTTTCCCGACGAACTGCTGACTGCTGTAACAGTAGCATTCCAACTGTCTGGTAGAGATGATAAGAGAATTAAAGCTCGAACTTCATCATCGAACTCAATTTCCACTGAACTCAACTGGGTTGTGATTGTGTTGAGTTCATTTAGGTGTTGTGCCACCGATGCCCCTTCCGCCATCCGCAAATTGAATAATCGCCTCATCAAATGAACTTTGTTTGAGGCCGATGGCTTCTCGTACATACTGGAGAGAGCCGCCATAAGACCCGTCGTGGTCTTTTCCTTTGCTATGTTAAAAGCAACATTGCAGGATAACGTCAGTCGGATAACTCCGAGGGCTTGTCTGTCGAGAAGAGCCCAATCTTCATCCTTCATGCCCTCTGGTTGCTTTCCTGAGAGAGGTTGATATAGATTTTTCTGGTACAAAAAATCTTCAATCTGCATCTTCCAAAAGCCAAAGTCCGCACCATCGAACTTTTCAATTTTCACCTTCCCTTCGTCTGCAGCCATCGCTCCCACTCGAATCTGGCTTCGTTTGGATCGTTTCTGACAATTCTTGCGAATCACCGTGTATTAGAACACCACCGTCGACAAACTCGTATCGCCGACCGAATTTCACTATTCACGGAATTCACTATTCACGTGAATAGTAATGAATAGTAACCTCGCAGAAAATTTGACAAAATTCACAACCAAAAGCTCTGATTGCCAGTTGTTAGGAAAATAAACCGAGTACAAGTAATTTCCCTATAACCAGATTAGTGAGAATGCGAAATAAAAGCGGAAAAATAATACCCAAAAATTGATAACGGAGTTCAGCCAATTGTGCTTACATCTCCGGGCTGCTGCAGATCTTTTACTAAGAGAGAAAATTTACAGGTGTTTACAAAACACTCACTACTCACAAGAAAGCTCTCTAGTATAAGAAGAAAGAAATGTTTTGGGATGATTTTGAAGCTAAATGGGTAAGGGTATTTATAGTAGAAACTTAGGGACTAATCTTTGAAAATACCCTAAAGTGCAATGACTAAAGTGAATTTACCCATTCCTATTTTCAACAAACATCTACCAAAATTTTACCAAACTTTGAAAAATATTTTTCAAAGAAACATTTACCAAACTTTGAAAAAAAACATTTTCCAAAGTTGGTTGCCAAACTTTGAAACTTTTAACATTAAACCATGCATTACGGATGATATTAACCGAACTCTTCTGAGGGAGTTCACCGCTGAGGAGGTTCATAGCGCAGTGCGAATGATGAGGCCTTTAAAGGCTTCTGGGGCGGATGGGCTAGGAGCTATCTTCTATCAGAAATTTTAGCACATCGTATGCCATGATATTTGGTCCACGATAATTTTGACATCGAAGCCTTTGCCTTCATAAAGGCTCACCGAGAAGGGCATATCAGATGGCTCCATATCAATTCCAAGACTTTCGAAGAACTCCATCATATTTGGATATGGAACCTGGCATCACATTGACAAGTACACATTGCAGAGACATCCCACTAACAATTTATATATGGGAAAAAAAACTTGTTATCAGCATTCTTGTGATAAAGTTTTAACATCTGTTCTTTTACATGATACTAAACTTGATTCAACCCGATTTGATATGTCGAAATGAAGCGGTAAACAGGGGTGTAAATGAACCAAGTTCGAATAAAAAAAACTATGCTTGTTTGTTTGTTTTTAATGTATTCATGTTCAATTTATATTTATTTAAAATTTCAATTTTATGTTCGTCTTCATTTGTTTATTTATATTAGTTGCTTTGTGAACATGTAATTTAATTTTTGCAAAAATAGTAAAACTATGCCAGTTATCCCTCCAATCACTGCTACTTCCATTGTAATGTAAGAAACTGAATTTATCTACTCATTTGAAGATGAAACATTGCTGTCAATTTCAGAACTTTTGGTCATAAGAACATGAATCCTTTATTTTTCAGAAGTGTTTTAAGGGTGACTTTAATAAACTGGAAATTGAATAGGAAGTGAAGATAATGTAAAACTTACAAGAAATGGGTTCAAATTATTTCCAAAATGTCCAAAGAAGGGTACTCACTACTTAACACTTGGAAACTTACCAAAAATGGGTTCAACTTAAACATATATACAATGGCGGAACTTGACGAATAAGTTTGGGGCAACTTAAAACTTTAAAAATTGTAAAGGTTTAAATTAAAAAGATTTTAAATTGTGAAGGGTTTAGTTTTTTTCCCTAAAAAATTAAGGTTAAAGTAAAAATTTTGAAAATTTGAAGTTTAATATGAATTCCTATTTATAACTATAATGAGAAAGTGGCAGTAGACATAACCCAAATCTATTCCTATTTATATCTATAATTAGAAAGTATCTCTAAACAATGGTGGTGGGTATCTAGAGGGTGAAAATCTATCATTAATAATGCTTATATTACTTCATTTTATGTTAGTTCAAATCTTAATATTTATTTTAACATATAATATCTCTACTTAATTAAAAAAATTATAACATATTTTTAGATGTCATCCAAACATGTTTGGATTGTAACATTTTGTAAAATTAAAAAAAACAAAATTTAACTTTAAAAAAGTCATTTCGAAAAAATATTACGGACAATAGAGAAGAAAATTAAAAAAATAATATAAGAATATAATAATTTAAATTGTGTTTTAGGATTTAATTTACTTTTAAACCAATAACCCCTAGTATTTACTTATAAGGACAAGTTTCTTGTTTATAAAGTAAACTTGTATAGAAAAAAATCTTTTAAACTATGTTTTGTACTCTTCATTTTAAAATTTATTTTAATTATTTTTTAATCGTTATAAAAGAATTTGGGTCACATAAATCAAATCTAGTCGTTATCTAAATTCATTTGAATAAAATTTAAAGAATGATTTTTTTTTGCGTAATCATGAACAAATCTATATGGTGCTTAGGAGGGATATTGTCCCTTCCAAAATTTTTGGTATAATAGTAATTTAGATTTTTTTGCTAAACTATTAGTTAAGTATGACCTTTGTCCCTTTCAATTTTTAGATTTAAATACTTATATATTATTATTTTATGATATGAAATTATTTTACCTCTTTAATTCTAGTTTCGTCTAATTATATTAAGGGTAAACTACATAAATAGTCACCAAATTTTTAAAGTTCTTGTATTTTGGTAGCCTATCTTTTAAAACTTAGAATACAATCATCAAACTTTTAGTTCATTTTCAACGAGGTCCATGACATTACCTCCCATTAGTTTTATCTGACGTAACACGTTACTGTTATTTTTTAGCTTAATAAAACAATCATTTTAACCCATTTTAGCTTAATAAACAATTTTCGTCATCCAAATTGACTGAAAACCTAAAAAATAAAATTTTCCTTTTTTCTTATTCTCTTTGTTTGATCAACAATCGAAACTAACAATGAAGACACCAGCTGCAATCTCAACATATTTTTTGTGAAATGTCAGCTACCCACACACAACTTGGACGAATAATAATGTTGAAAGGAGGTTTTTTAGGTGCGTTACCATGGGTGTGTATTTAGAAGAAATTGTAATTTTTTCTATTTAATATGACCCCCATTGAATCCATGTTCACATACTATTATTGTAGGTTAGCTAAGAAAGATGAGAGTCATAGAGAGATGAAGAAAGTTTGAACGAGTGATTTGGGAGGTTTGGTTGTACCTGGTTTTGTTGGGTTAAGAAATGAGTAATTTAGAATTTATGGATTATGTTTGTTGCTTATGTTTATTTTGCATTAGCCCACTATGTTACCGAGATCTCTTGGGTTTACTTCAAAATGAGCTTTCAGCCTAAACAAGCAAAAGCAACAAACTCAAAACACACATAAGACTAAACTCGACAACCAGGCTAAATTACAGGTTCACTTTCGATATCTTCGACAAACAATAATTACTTTTTAGAGTTGAGAATTTCATTCCTCTAAGAGTAAACTTTATGGAATTAATGTTGAAGCATGCACTTTAAATGAATGGGCCACTGTTATTGACTGCTCATAGGGCTCTTTCCTTATGGAGTATCTTGGCCTACCTGTATGTGAAAAGAAAATTTCAAAAATTATTTGGGATCCGATAATCCATAAATTCAACAAGAAATTAGCCGGTTGGAAAACTTCTTCATTGTCAATGGCGGGCAGACTGGTGCTTTTTTCCCTGTCGATTTTTTCCTATCTATTTTCAAAATGCCGTATAAAGTAAGTCAGAAGATTAACTCTTTGATGGCTAAATTTCTTTGGGGTGAAGGATCAGCAAAGAGTCATATTCATTGGGTGAATTGGCAACCAGTTTGTCAACCATTTGAAGATGGTGGCCTGAGAGTTTTGGATATGAATATTACAAATCGAGCTTTGCTGAATAAATGGGTGTGAAAATTTGAAAATGAAAAATATTCCCAATGGAAAAAGATTATTTGCAACAAACATAACGTTAGCAGTATGCCTCTGTCAATTAACAAGGCAGTTTCTCCTCAAGACTCATGGATTTGGAAAGGAATTGTTAACAACTATCTGAAAAATGATAAAGTTGGAGCGTGTTTGAGGTCTTATTCTAGGATCCAAGTAGGGAATGGTAAGTCTATTTCCTTCTGGAATGATGTTTGGGTTAATGACTCACCCTTGAAAAATCAATTTCCTGGGATCTTTGCTTTATCCAATAATAAATGAGGTAAGGTGACTAAATTTGGTAGCTATGATAAAAATGATTGGGTGTGGAATATTCAAACTAAGAGGAACTTATGTGACTGGAAATTGGACCAGTGGGTCAAATTAATGACAAGGCTTAATAGTATCAATATGTCTGATTCAGTGAATGACTTCCTTTCTTGGTCTAGGAAGGGTGATGGACTGTTCTCGATTAAATCCTGCAGGTTGACCTTAACAAAAAAATCTGGAGATAGTTTTAACTGGAATAAGTGGGTGTGGTCAGGTTTGGCTCCTCCTAGAGTCGAAACTTTTCTTTAGCAAGCTTTCTATAAAAATTGGCAGTTAGAATGGAGCTAAAGAAAAGGGGGTTCCCTTGGATGATGTTCTATGTCCACTTTGTCATCAGCATGAAGAAATCGTTCAACACCTTTTCATTTCGTGCTCTGTTGTAGGGGATCTTTAGAACAGATTTTTCAGGATATGAGATATCTCTACAACATTGCCTCATGATCCCCCTACCCTTCTAAGTTCATGGTATGAATTAAGGGCTAATTCTTCCATTTGGAAATTTATCTCGGGAGTTGTTTTTGGTCCATCTGGAAAGTTAAGAATTCATTTGTTTTTATAATATAAAACTTGACAGATCCTCACTCTTCATAATCAGATTTAGGTTGGCAAAATGGTTTATAGGTAAGTTACCACAAGTTCATATACAAGTTGATTTTCTGGTTGGGGACCCCTCGCTTGCAGACAGACTTCCTAGCCATACTTTTCATAGAAGGATGGTGCAAAGTTAGCTTCCTCCCCCAACAGATTTTTTTCAAAATAAATGTAGATAGGGATATCAGGAAAGATGGATTGACTGGTGGAATTGGAGGTATTTTGAGAGATTCTAATAGCTACACTTTAGCGACCTTCTCTTATAGTGTTGGTCATGGCCCTCCACCTCTGGCTGAGTTGAAATCCATTAAAAAAGAAATTGACATTTTTCTATCCTCAATTTAGGTATTGAAGGGAAGACTGATAATAGAGAGTGACTGCAAAAGTGTCGTTAACTGGATTATGTTGATGAATATTGTTTCTTTCTTCAGTACCCTAGTCATGGAAATTGTGTCCCTAGTTTTAGCTAGGGCGGTTATTGTGAGATTGATTCCTAGGGGTTGTAATTGGGAGGCTAATAAATTAGCTAAGGAGGGGATTGGGTGATTGTAAGGGTATTTTTCTAGGGCGCTTAAAGTGGTTTTTGATTAAATTGATGTCTAAGGTGTAATGGTTTACTCTAATGTAATTTTTGACTAATCAATAAATTGAGGTATTTTTTTCCTCCATCCGTTAGTTGCCTCTTTTCAAGAGGCAACTATGAGGGAGGTTTTTAATGAGGCCTCATACTTTTATAAAAAAAAATGTTATGTCTAACAAAGAAACTAAAAACCCCTTAAGCTAAGCATCCTTGAGCAAATACAAGAGATCGAGCACCTACCTTCAAATAGACATGGCCAAAACGACATTATCCAAAACAATCTGCTCTATCTCTACACAGCAAATCCAGCCAACTATTTATTGACTCTAAGATCACCACCATGCTCTCCTTAAACAATCTGCACCTAACCTTTCATACTTTTACCCCATCACGTTAAAGTATGAAAGGCAAAAAGTAGTTGTTTCAAATAGTGACCATGCCAGCAAGGACCGGATAGTGGTATCTTTTAAATAAATGGGATAACATAATAAATCCGACCATATTTGTGTCAGAACATATTCGTATTCTACAAATGTCTGAATTCAAGTAACCTTGATCTCATCAACCTTCAAATATGTCTAGTTAATTAATTAATATATAATTCACTATGAATTTTACAGAACTATTGAATAAATTAGACAAATCGAAAAACTATAATAGAATTATATATTTATCTAAACACGAATGTTCTTACATCTAAAGAGAAACTAAGCTCTCCACATATGAAAAACCAAAAATAACATAAGTCGAAATTTGTTTAAAATTCACCCTTCTTTGAGTCTTGTCACGGTTATTATATATGAGCAAACCCCCGTCGCTTATGATCAAAGCTTCTTCGCTCTTCGGAAAATCGAGCAGGGTGGGCGAGCTTTGACAAGGGAACGTCGAAACGGTCTTTTCCCACGAATATTTCTTGCCATAGATTTTAATGACCCAAAATTCATACAATGGTGGTAGATGTTTTCCAATACAAAGATTTCCTCCCATTGAATGCAACTTAACACATGGATAATCAGCTTGGGAAACTGGTGTGGAGATCTTCGTGAATTCTTGTTTTGATAGGTAAAAAGCAGTGATGCTCAGAGTTGGTTCCGACTCAAAATAAGTAATCCAATAGATACCTCCATTAATGTGTACACTATCCCGTTTCATTCTTGTTGTCTCATCACGACATAAATACCCAATGCGTCTCCATGCAGAGGATTTTAAAGAGTAAACGTCAAAAATGTTACGGTTACTTATCAATACTACCTTATAATCATCGTGCAAGGCATCGTATCCGAACCCAAACCCATCAAATATTAGAAACCCACCAAACAATGGTTTAGGCTTATTTTCGGGACAATGTATGGAAAGAATTGTTTTGGTTTGTCTGGTTGATGGATTAACCAAAACTACGGTTCCTGGAAAAACATAAGTACACAACAAGCCATTGCATGAACCCCATACCTGTATCTGGAAACGATCGATGGTTTTCAGGCAGAACAATGGGTCCTCCTCCACAAGCTTCACTTCGTGTCCACTAAACAACGATTCGTAATCCAACTGGAACCGATGATGAAATGGCATACTTTCATGCAGGACACATCTCCCTCTCCTGGACTTAATAGATTGATTTAGTTGCATCTTCACAAAACGAGTATCGGAGATTAGGTTGTACCACACCTTGCACACGCACTTGAATCGGCAGAGTGATTTTACCGGCAGTCTAGAAAGAATCTCCACTACGATTTCTTCAGGGACTTGACATCCAGGTGCTGCTCGTTTTTCTTTTGGATTCATATCGGCTGCGTCTACCAGATTCATAGTTGGAACCCTAAAAATCATACAAGTAATAGAATATTGGGTAAACTATATATAAAGCAATCAAATATATAAATAGGGTAAATTATAAACTTAACCTCTCTCCTATTTCACTCACCATACTTTCAATTTTTTCAATTTGCTTACTGTACTTTAGACGTTGAACTTCTTTGGTCACTCGACTGTTTACTCAGTAACGGGTTGCTTACCGTTACTTATTTTAATAATAAAACATGTTACACGTTCACTCACTGAACTTTACCCTCTCTCATATTTCAATCACTGTACTTTTAATTTTTTTTTTCAATTTTAGTTTGACGTTGTTAGAAATTTAACAGTTGAGTGACCAAAAATTTTAATGTCTAAAGTTCAGTGAGCAAATTAAAAAAATTTAAAAGTATGATGAGTGAAATAGGAAATAGGGTAAAATTCAGTAAATAAGCATGTAATTTACCCATATAAATATTGTTAATTATGTTAAAAATTAAAATTATACTTTCATTATATATAAAATAAATATAATATAAAATTTGGTTATATAAAAAATTAATAATATAGAATATTAGTCATTTTTTCCTTTTCCATTAGTTATACATTATATATAAAATGTTGTAAACCACTGAAGTTCCGGGCTTAGCCCAGTGCTTTAGGCGTGTATGGTGATGTTCCAAAACCCTGGTTTCCAATCCTCAGCAACAATTTAGGTTTCTTAACAAATGAGATGATGACATGTGTCATAATCTTATTGGATACAAAAATTAAAAAAATAACTAATTAAAATTAATAAAATATCCTCCAGTAGGGTGGTGACATGTGTCACCGCCTAATTGAATATTAAATTCATTAAATTAAATTAAAATTATGATTAAATTGATCAAATGTATAAATATTGAGGATCAAAGGTGAAATTATACTAATTTTTTACCACCACCTCCGTTAAATATTAACGACAAGTAACTTCATTGAATGCATTTAAATAGTTGGGTGACATGATTGAAAATTTCAAAAATGATGAATAAAATTGTAAAGGGATTATAATTGGGTAGTCACTGATATAATTTACCTTAGAATATTAAAACATTTATCGATTGGATTTTTTTATTCAATTAAAATATTTTCAATTATATTATTTATCTATAAATTCTAATGACTTATTTGATTATGGAATTGTAATTCAAATTTAATATAAAATGCAATTAAATATTTATCGTATTTATATCTATAAAATTACTATTAGGTTTTACTATGATAATAATTGTTTCTTATATTTAAGTAAAGATAATTTAAATTAACAAAATATTGTTTATGCACAAATTTAAATAGTTTAAATTAGAGTTAGGCATGAGATTTTAACTTGACGGGTTTTGACCCAATTTTATAGAGTTATTTTTTTAATACGAGTTCGGCTTGGTTTTTGGAGGATAAGGTTAAGTCGTGTCCGATTTGAGTTTAGGGTGATAAATCTTCAAACCGACCTAACTCGAGATAATAGTATAATTACCCTGATATATTTAGGGATCACTACAATAATATTCATCTCTGTGTATTTTTCAATTAGGTCCCTATTTTATCAAATAAAAATAAGAATGATATATATATTTGTATTAGGTCGAGCATGAAAATTTATCCCAAAAATTGGGTCAAGTTTCAGGTAAAATGAATCCTCTCTAAACTCAGATCGAGTACCGTTGATAGTACCGTTGATGGGTAGTTACTTCTATGGCTTATATAATGACGGTGCCTCTACCTGTAGAGATAGTACTGTTGATGGGTCAGTCGACCATCATACTACGACCAATGACTGCCCTACAAGTAGGATTGTGATTGAGGAAGTTAAAATGGCTCTTAGAAAGATGGGTAGGGACAAAGCTGTTGGTCCAGATCAAATTCCTATCACTGTGTAGTTGGCCCTAGGAGAAGAGGGAGTTAAGTGGTTGACCAACATCTTTAATACTATTTTAGAGACTGCCAAGATACCAGAGGAGTGGAGAGAGTCTACGGTGATACCAATCTATAAGAATAAAGGAGATCCCCAATGTTGTGGTAACTACAGAGGTATTAAACTACTCAGTCATACCATGAAGCTATGGGAAAGAGTGATAGAGGCTAGGTTGAGACAGGTTACTAGGGTTTCGGAAAACCAATTTGGCTTTATGCCCAACAGGTCTACTATGGAGGCGATTCATCTACTTCGATGGCTTATGGAGAAATATAGGAGAAAAAATAGAGATCTTCACATGGTGTTCATTGACCTTGAGAAGGAGTATGATAGCGTTCCCCGCGATACGATCTGGAAGACCTTGGAAACGAGACGGATCCCAACTGCTTATATCCGGACGATTTGTGATATGTACTGTAGATCTACTACATACGTCAGGACTACAATTGGAAACACCGAGGCATTCCCGGTGGAAATCGGACTCCACCAGGGGTCATCTCTTAGCCCTTACATCTTCGCCTTGATTATGGACGACATCTATTGTGCGACACCAGACGGTGTTCCATGGTGTATGATTTTCGCTGATGACATTGTCCTAGTTGCTGAAACAAAAACTGAGCTGAATAGTAGACTGGAGACCTGTAAGACTGTTTTGGAAGAAAAAGGTCTAAGGATCAATATTGAAAAGACAGAGTATTTATGTTTAAAATTCAGTGGGAACCAAAACGAGGAAGATGTAGAAGTACGCATAGAAGGACACGTTCTCCCCTCAAAGGATTGTTTCAAGTACCTAGGGTCTATGATACATAAAGATGGGGGTGTAGATGATGACGTTACACACCGTATTAAGGCGGGATGGCTAAAGTGGAGGGCTATTACTGGAGTTTTGTGTGACAAGAAGGTGCCTCTAAAACTTAAGGGAAAAATTTATAGAATGGCAATAAGACCAGCACTGCTGTATGGATAAGAATGTTGGGCAATCAAGAAGGATCACGTAAGGAGGATGGAGGCCGCATAAATGAGAATGCTTCGATGGGCATGTGGTCGGACTCTGTGGGACATGACATCAAACTCTGCAATTAGGATGTCCTTAGGGGTGGTACCTGTATCCGAAAAATTGAGGGAGGAAAGACTACAGTTGTTTGGGCATGTCCTTAGGTGAAAACCGTCAGATGCGGTCAGGAGGGTAGAGACCGACGGTGTCAGAAGGAGATGACGACCAAGGAGGAAGTGGGTAGACTGCTTGAGATATTATTTGAATGATTTAGCCCTTACCGAGGACATGACCTCTGATAGGAAATTATGGAGACTTAAGACCAGGGTAGCCGAGTAGTGTGGGTCACAGCCATAGGGTGTAGCATCTCTGTCTTCTTTTTAATGACTTTGTAGTAATTTCCATGACTTCTATTTTTTATATGTTTCTGTCATTGGAATCTATGAAGGCTTAGAACTAGGGTAGCGGAGTAGTGTTGCCTTAGTTTAGGTTTTAACCCATTTGACTTTATTCCTTCTCGTAGCTTGCTATCGATGACTTCTGTGTATCATTCTCTTCATGTTTCCTCTTTTTAAATTTAGCAGGGTTTTACGTTTCTGTCTATATACAGAGATTTTTTTTACGCATGGATTTATTTACAGGGAATACTTCCCATTACAGACGCGCATATGAAGATTGCATAAGAAGACTGTTCAACTATGTATTTGTTTATTTATACATGCATTGTATTTTATCTTTATTTTTAATTTTCTGACTGTCGGAGTTCTTCCACGGAAGCTGCTCTCAACCTGACGTTAGGGACAGCCTACTACCCTACCTCCCCCTTACCCCATTACATATGGGAATAGGCTTTTGTTGTTGTTGCTGCATATACATCCAAAGTTTAAATTACTCCCTCCGCCCCACTAAAATTGTCTCTTATTGACCTTTCATTAGTCAAAATTTTTAAACTTTGACCATAATTATTTTAAATATTAAAAAAATAAATTTTATAAAATATATATTTAAAACTACTTAATTGGAGGTTTTTAAATTGTATTTTTTTATATTTTTATCAATAATAAATTTTAATTAATAAAGAGTCAAAGTTCACAAAGTTTGAAAGAAAAAATTAATAGTGGACATTTTAAGTGGGATAGAGGTCGTATAATTTAAGATAAATATAAAGTAAGTAGAATTTAATATTTATCGAATTATATCTATTTTATTTTTGTATAATTTTAATATAATAATAAAAGTAATATTTTAAATTAACATAAAATATACTTCAAGTTGAATATAAAATGTATCCACAATCAGAAAGCCTTGAAGATGACCAAAGGCATAACAAAAACAAACCTATTACTGGGAAAATCAAGTTGCAGACTTCCAAAAAGGGCTTAGCAAGCATTTCCCCTTCTGGAGATTTGATATGCTTCATTCCTTCCAATGATGGAGTAAAAACTGATCCTTCCATTGCCCCAATGTTAAGCTTTCAACCTTTCCCTCCTTTATTCACTGCATAAATCAAATTAAAATCACCAAGATTTAATTTAACATACATTAAGATCCAATACAGAGAAAAAGCCAGCCATTTTATGATATCAAAATCACGGTGCGTTTGGTTCACGGAATGTAAGATTACCAGGGAATAAGATTACTGGGAATGTTGTATTTTGTGTTTGGTTGGGTTAGCAGGAATGCAAGATTACCGTGTGTGGTTAAAGGAATAAAAGATTATTGGAATGTATATTTAACTAAATTGTCCTTATTTTATATTTGTTTTTTTAACAAGTTGAAAAATATTTATATATTTTCTTTAAAAAATTTAAATTCATAAAATTTATATAATTTTTTTTACAAAATTGAAAATATAAAAAGATTTAATGAAAGGGTAAAATTTTATTTTAACACCTGAACTTCATATAAAATTTTAATTATAGATTTTTTTGTAAATCTAAAATAGTTTAAAGATAAATTTGTAATTTAACCTTCGTAGAATTTTTATTATTCAATGACAGAAGAATGATATTTTTGAAAGAAAAAAAAATTAAGGACATTTTAGTCCAAAACGCCGGTAATCTAACAATACCTAAGGAAAGAGAGGTAATGACATTCCCAGTAATATACTAAAAAATCCACTACCGAAAATAGGATTCTCAAGCTAACCAAATAGGGAATGTGAATTCCATTCCTCTGAAAATTTCACATTCCCATAGAAATCTCATATTCCCCCATTCAAACACCTCTAAAATTTTAACCTTTTTACTCAAAATTCAAAAACCCAAATCAACAATCATATAAAAAGATGCAACTGATCCTATCAAAATGTGTTAATTTTGATCAGATCTGTCAAAAAAAATAAAGACACTGACTTGAAGTACTCCTGGAACAGAAACAGCTAGGCAATATATATATATATTTCGTAAAAAGAACGGGCATAATATCGAAACTAATCCCTCAATATTTACTCTCTAGTTCATTATTTTTTTTGGAGCACTTTAACTCTCAATTTAATTTTTGATCAAAAAAATCCATGCTAGATGGAAATGAGGGATGGTTAAAATACTCGAAATTGACGTTTCCCAACCCGATCCGATTTTATAGGAGCGTTTTTTAAAAAAAATTCAGGACTCAAGGCAGAGCATAGTGAGTTATATAGTGTATAATTTTCGAGCAGGAGGGCCTAGTTTAAGGGGGAAAACACCGACCCAACTCGATTAATTTATATATATTTATATTTATATTTGTATTAGGCATTTTATTTTATATTATTAAAATATATTATTTAATTATTAAAAATATCAAATAATTATAAAAACATACTATTTTAACCGTTTAAAATATAATAAATAATTATAAAATATATTATTTTAATTATTTAAAAATATTAATATATTCATATTGAGTCAGATCGTGGATGAGGTTTTATACTAAAAATCAAGGCCAAAAAAACCTAAAATTCATCGGGATTGGGTGGGGTCGGATTTAAGATTTATATTTAAGATGATGGACAATATATGTGTTAATATCACTTAAGATGATGACTTAGTACGTGACACATAAGCAATTCAGCGCATGTAAAAATAGCACATCAATAACATGTCTTGATTGTTATCCAATTAATAATTTTTATTTAATAGGGATCATTTTGATTAAAAAAAAAGTGAAACATTGAAGACTAAAATATTCCAAAAATAAATAATAATTAAAATAATTATTTTAATAAACGTTGAAGACTAATTTTAACACTATACTATAATAATATAATAAACATGTCGAAAACAATAATTTTTTTGGGCACATAAAAACAATAAATTTTTCAGAGAGCATATAGTTAATCTGGAGATTAAAATTAAATAAATATAATATCAAAATTTCACGACCGCCATTGAACTCAAAGATTCAAGAATTTAAAATTTCCATGTATTCAATATGTCATCCATATATAGAATTTTTAAGCTAACAACACATATTTGATATGTAAAAGAAAACATAAATTGTCAAATTCAAACAAAATATTCACGTTTATGTAATTAAATGAACATTCATTAATTGAATCAATTCATGAGAGTACATAAATAATTTGTCTGAACATGACTTATTTTATTAGTTCATTTATGAGTAGTTTTATCAGCCGTTTTGTTCTTCACACTTGATCTTCACCTGGATTTTAGTTATAAAGCTCGGGAGCAAGGCGAGGTGCGACGAGTGCTTCAAGCGGGGTAGATTTAATGTTGGTCAACCCAATAGTACCACTCAAGTCGATCAGGCCATTATTCATCGTCGAGAAATCAAAGGCGTGTAAGAAATTCGACATCGTCAAGTACAGCATGTGGAGTGCGAACGATGTTCCCGGGCAGCTTCTCCGACCACTACCGAAAGGCATCAGCTCGAAATGCTGCCCCCTAACATCCACATCCTTGTGGGTAGTGAGAAACCTCTCCGGCATAAATTCCGATGGTTCCGGCCATACGTTTGGGTCCCTTTGGATCCGATGGAGGTTCACAATCAGACGAGTGCCTTGCGGGATTTCGTAGCCCCCGATCGTGCAGCTTTCGCTGAGCTCACGAGGTGCCGAAAGGGGTGCGGGTGGATACATCCTTAATGTCTCTTTAACAATGGCTTGAATGTACACCAATTTGCCGATGTCTGTTTCATCCACAAGCCTGTCCCTGCCAACATGGGCGTCTAGTTCTTCTTGTGCCTTTTTGAGTGTGTGAGGTTTGTTTAGCATAAGCGAAAGCCCCCATATCAAGGTAACAGTTGTGGTGTCGCTGCCTGCTAAAATCATATTCTGCAGGGTGCATATTATGTTAGTTTTTTGAAGATATAATCACGTTGATTAAATTGTAACATAACACGTGTTATATGTATATAAATAATGGTACGTCACGTGTCTCGTTATTGCTTTGACACGTAAACTTTGACATATAAAATCCATTACGTTAGCAATAAACATTAACTATTTTAGAGGTGGTTAACGGGGGAAATGAAAAAGAAAAGGGAAGAGACTGTACCAAGGAAGTGGCTTTGTTGATGGTATCGGCATCATATCCAGCAAGGCTAGCACCTTTAAGAACAGAGTTCATAACATCCATGAAATCCTTCTCCTTTTTGTTCTCATCCCAACGTCCGCCTTTCCGGTGGTCATCGAGCCATCCATCGGCGATTTCATCCAACTCTCTGGCGGTTTTCTTCATCCACTTCTCGTAGCCGCCCAAATCCATACGTCGGAGAAAAGGGACAGCGTCTCCCAACACAAAAATCCCCGACAGGTGAAAGAAATCCCGCAAAGCCTTACGGTATCTCGACACCACTCGCTGGTCTTCCTGCGCAGCAACGTTATACCTCTTCCCGGCAACCGTCCGGAGAATGACGTTCAACGTCAAGTCGGCGAAATGTTTCTCCATCTCCACCAAAACTTTCCCGGAGCCATCTTTCTTCTCACCCCAAGTCTTGTACAGCTGTTTCAGTGATCCCTGTATCTCCGACACGAAAACTTTCTTGAGCTGATCGATCCTGTGGTTGGACAGCACCTCCAACATCGTGATCTTGCGCATCTCACGCCAGTATTGTCCGTAGGGAGAGAACCCGAACATGGCATAGTCGTAACCGAGGTGTTCGGCGGCGGCGAATTTGGAACGAGAGGAAACAACCATATCATTGGTGGTGAATATCTCCTTGGCCACCTCTCTTGAATTCACCACCAGGGCCGGATGAACGCCGATGCGGATCATGTATGCGGGTCCGTATTTATCAGCCAAGTTCCCCAGTGTTTCGTGAGGCGCCAACGGCCCTCCCAACAGCGGGAGGTGGCCGATTATCGGCCATGCGCCGGCTGCCACGGGTGGTGCGGCTTTTCCGCCACTGGCTGAGCTAGATCTTTTGAGTTTGGAGTACAAAAACAGCAGTGCGGTGGCTAAAAACAGTGTGCAGCCGAAAGTCGAGAGATCAAGAAGATCCATCACGGCTTTAGATTGAAAACTGTGTAGATCTCCTGAAGAAGTTGATGGGAGAAGGTGGTTTGTTTTGTGCATATAAATATAGCTGCGGAGATTTCAGATTTTTATACTATTTTACTAATCCCGTCGTCGATGTTGAATGACTGCTCCAGTGTCAGTTAAGTCAAAATTATACAATAACATTATAATATATATATATATATATATATAATAAGATTAAGGGTTAACTATACGAATGATCATTTATGTTTGTATTTTATTCACTTTTAGTCATTGATTTTAAAAAACTTAAGATATGATCACTTTCGTTTTTATTTAATTAAGATGTGATCACCTTGAGTTAACTGTCATTAACATCAATTAAATGTTTTGATATAATCACTCATTTGGTCCATGTTATTTAGTTATTCTCTTAATTTAGTCATACTTCTAATAAATTAAAATAAATTTAATCCTCTAATCGAATGATGTCATGTGTCATGCCAATGTCATCATTCTTTGGAGGACTAACTTTATTTTAATTTAATATATTTATTTCTACCAATCAAAGAGTGACATGTGTCATCCTCCGGTTGAAAGAAAACAAATGAAAGCAAATTGAGACATCTTAGCATATATATACTTAAATTCATAATATTTTATATATATTAACTTAAAAAATATTTTTATTTTAATTTAGTAAATATATTTTATTATTAAATTAATTTTAAAATATTTTATTTTTATTTTCATTTAAAAATATATATTTTATGTTAAAATTTATTTAAAAATATGACTAAATTGAGGGAATATGTAAATAACTAGACCAAATGTGTGATTATACCAACCATCATGCCACATATTCATTTAATTGTTAATAGAAGTTAAACTGTAATGACAGCATCTTAATTAAATAAAAATGAAATTGAACATATCTTAATTAAATAAAAACAAAAGTGGTCATATCTTATGTTTTTTGCAATCAGTGACTAAAAGTGGACAAAATGCAAATGTAAGTGATCATTAATGTAGTTAACCCTAAAATTAATAATAATATGTGTAATTATTTTTTTACTTAATTTTATTTAGAAAAAAATATGTACTTGGTGAGATAGATGTGGGTCTTCCTTGGCAACCTTTGACTGAGTTGGTGAGAGAGATGTGGGTCTACTTTGCCGTCCTTTCACTATTACTTTAATTGATGTATTAATTAATTAGTTTCTTTCTAAAATAATATATTTAAAAATTAACATATATTCGTTCGTACACTTTAAAAAAATTTATATTCTTAACTGAATATTTTAGTTTTATGTTTTTGTAATTTTTTTAAATAATCAAACAAAATAATATATCATTCTTTATCATAAAATTATATTTTGAAAATTTAAAAATACTAAATATATATATATATATATATCTTAAATAATTTAAATACTCTTGCTATCTCAATAAAATTTTAACCTAACTATTTTAAATATTTTAACTACTTAAATTATAACTAATATATTTATGAAGAATGATTTTTTAATTTAAGGTTTTCAATCTTAATTTTTTCTTTCTCCTTTTGATCATTTGTCCTTTTTTTATTATTTTTGTGATCGATGGCGACGTGAATCTTAATTATGGTTACTAATTGTCCATATTCATTATTTTTTTTATTTTATTATATTGTATCTTTGTTTCCTCTTTATTTAGTTTTTTTTAATAATTATACATTTATTACAAGTTTTTCTCTATTGTTATGATACATTTTTCTCTTCTTTTTGACATATGTATTTATTGTTTACTCGTTATTTTCATTTATCCTTTTTTCAAATAAATATAATATGAGAACTCGCATTCAGGAATAATTTTGCAACAACTTATTTGAAGAGTGAATTTATTTAGCCATCAAGTTCAATTTCAACCTCTAAGATATTTCAAAATATTGTAACTTCATGTTCAAGTAGGAACGTAGGAATTTATGTCATAGGAGTATGAATATAAAAAATTACAATAAAGATTTAAGAGGTGCGAAATTAAAAAATTTCAATGGATATGATATTAAGTTATCAGTAAAAGTATAAAAGATATTTAAATTATACGAAGATTCAAAAATTTTAAAATATACAATCACAATCATACCCGTGTTATCCTTTCGGTCCATCCTTACATATGTCATATTACAATGATGAGGTATATAAATCAATTTTATCATTCTATTTGTTTTTTTTGGTTACAAAGATTAGCTGCATTGACAGCAATGGATCCTTCTTCTCCACTTGTCCATATTAAGGTAGAGAAGACGATAAATATTAGCAGGCGGATCAGCAAGATCTATCATGTCAAGCATTGCCATACGATCAAGATGAGTTATTGCATCCGCAACACCATTAGCTTCACGACGGATATGCATAATTCGTTATCCTAAGCAACCGTAAGCCCTTCTGCAAGAGCCCAAATTTCAACATAAAGGATTGAGAAACGCCCCAAGCTGCGATGCCGATGATAGCCAGTTAGCCAATCGTCATCAGGTGAAGAAAAATAGGCCCAAATACAAGCAAATAGCCCCAAATCCACTAAAATCACCTTCACCCCAAATCAATAAAATAAAAGGTAAATTACACCTAAATCATAACTATTCTTTTTTATTTCTTAAATTTTATTTTTTTAAATCATACCTAAACCTTATATTTAATTTAGGTTTCAATTTGGTACCCATCATTAAAAAATTAACATAACTGTTGAACTGATATTTTTTATATTTTTCAATGATGATGTTTAATTACCTTATGGTGACATGTAAGCATTAACGCTAAGTCCTTAACAACGGGAACCAAAATGAAACATAAATCAAACATTAAATATGTTTTTTTAAAGAGTAATGTTTGGGTGTTAAAACTGAACAAAAACAGTAGTTTAGGTACTAAACGTGTAGTTTACCTTAAAAGAAAAACCCTAATCCGACGGTTTTAAACATCCTATAAAATCCACCATAAACTAAAATCCGTGTTCGCACCTTCATTGTTTTACCTTCCGCCTCTCTAGTTCTGACACACACACACAACCACAGCAAAAAAAATGGTGAGTTTTTTATTAATCTTTTAGTGGAGGATATGATTCATTATTCCCATTCCTGTATACGGGTTTTAATTGTTATCTTCCCTTTTTATTTCGCTTTTAGCCATTCAAGAGGTACGTTGAGATCGGGAGAGTGGCTCTCGTCAACTACGGCAAAGACTACGGCAAGTTGGTTGTCATCGTTGATGTCGTTGACCAGAACAGAGTATGTCCTTTTTTTTAGATTTAATATAGTGGCATTTTAAAATTTTTTTTGTCATTGTTCTTAGGCGTTTAGTGGATTTACAATTATGAAACATGTGATGGGTTCAGCTTAAAGTTGTATGATTATAAGTGAAAAAATGAAAAGTGAAAAAATGAAATTTAATGTGGTATGATTTTGAAATTTTTCAGTTTAGGGTATTTTAATTAGGTTTAATTTGGTGCTAGGATGAATTGTGAACTTATAGTGGAATCTAGTTGTTTTAGTTGTAAAGAGAACTGAAATTGGGTTTTCTGTATTTTCCATGTTGATTGTAATCTAGTCTGAAACATGTTATTCAAAGGATGCTGGGTTAGGTTAAGTCATTGTATTTTAATGATTAAGAGGGTGTTTCAGAGGGGCAACGAAGAAACGTGGGAATGTAGTCTAATTCTACATGGATTATGATTTATCCAGCATTTTTTAATGTGCATTTTTCACAGAATATGTGAACCTACAGCTTTCGTTATGTCTTGTTGATTGTGGTGTATATGCATGCCATTTCAGAATAGAATTGTCGTTTTAGTGGCCAACTGGCCATAGTGTAAGGATATTATCACGAGTCTAGTTGGAGTAAGGTAATGATTGCATAATGACTGGAAGCTTTTTTTTCCTTATACATTGGTATGACAGGCTCTTGTTGATGCCCCGGATATGGTCAGAGGCCAAATGAACTTCAAGAGGCTTACACTGACAGATATCACAATTGACATTCCCCGAGTTCCTAAGAAGAAAACATTGATTGAAGCTATGGAGAAAGCTGGTAAGTTTGATCATTTTTACTTACATTATCATAGCATTGTTTCTACAAAGTAATGTTTTCTTTCTAAGTGGCCGTATGCAATCATTGCAGATGTTAAGAACAAGTGGGAGAATAGCTCATGGGGTAGAAAATTGATCGTCCAGAAGAGAAGGGCATCTCTCAACGACTTTGATAGGTTCAAGCTAATGTTAGCCAAGATCAAGGTCAGTTTGCCATACCACTAAGGTCTTTTACACTTTTTTATACCTAAATTCTCTTGGCATCATCTAAATTCTTTCTCGAAACTTTGACCCGAGCAGAAGGCTGGAATCGTCAGGCAAGAACTTGCTAAGCTTAAAAAGGAGAATGCATCTTGAAGCGATACTGATTATTAGATTTTTGCTACTTTTTCATCAATATTCCGTGAGCTGTCTCGGAAGTGGATTTCAATTTTCTGTTAGATGGTTAAGATAGTCTAGGACACCTTGTTTTTTAAATGACAGATTTTGTATCGAGTTAATTGCTATATATTGCTTGTCTAATTTGCTTGCTTGCTAGTTTTTGAATTGGCTTAATGAGAGTTTATGTGTTGGTTGCTCATTTGTTCATCATTTGATGGCAGGAAGTGCTCATTCCAATCACCCAGAATATTGCAGCTAGTCTAGTTTTTGTTCGGACATTACGGTTGAGTTTAGTTTTGCTTAAACAATTCAGGTTAATTATAAAGTACATGATTTAATCAAACATAACAGTTTGACCTCACAAACTG